TGGATCTAAAACTCATGAACACTGTATTCAACTCGATTTGATAGAGTATTTAACAAATTCACACTCGTGTCAACTACAAGAACGGATAAACTCGGTCACCAAACAAAAGTGGTCAATACCATAGATTGGAGTTCAATTGTCTTCCCAACAAAAGAAAAAAAGGAAATTTTAAAATACTAAAGTAATTTTAAGTCGCTTTGACCTAGTCGAATTAGGTTGGAAAAAGATAAATAAATAAAAACACTAATGCGGGTTAAACTCGATCCCGATACAAACCGCATCAACATAGAGCAGATCTGGTATGGATCTTAGATAGTGGCATTAGGAAACAGTGGAGGGAACAACTTAAGATTCCACCGACAGTGATTTAAGAAGAGTTGTGAATTGGTGAGCGAAATCGAGGATTGGATAGAGCGTAGGAACAACTTAGGTATGGATATTCGGTTGCGACTGTGGCAAACGGTGAAAGGGAACAACCTAGGATTTCGACGACAACATCTTGAAATGGGCTGCAAAATGTTGGCAAAAAGTGATGATTTGGCCAGGAAAAATATAGACGAAAACCTAGTGGATAATAGTTGAAACAGAGAAACTATCGAAAAATAGCTTAAAACTTAGTAGACAATAATTGTTATGAGAGACACAATGGACAATAAATACAAACCCAACAAACAATAGCTAAACACAAAAGTTGTAGAATGGGAGAGTGGGTTAAAAGAAAATCTTGGAAACTTCCCCACTCTCAAGGAGAAGTGTGAGAGCATCTCCATCTCATTGCTTATTGCTATTGCTTATTGTGTGGAATCATATGTGGCAATAGTTTTAAGCAATTGCAAGGATGTAGCACTTCTTTCTTATTTAGGATGCAAGCCCTACATCAAAATGGTGCACGACAACTTAGTAAAAATCGAAGCAGAAACTCACGAACGATCGCCAACAAGCAAACCACACACACGAAATCAGCCTAACTCACCGCGAAATGAACCTGAGAGAGGTCTTGAAGCGAGTCTGACTTCTCCATCCGCGGTGGAATGCTAAGCATGGGCCCAAGATCCCGCAAAGCAGTCTGCGCGGCCGAGCTGTTGCATGCAGCGCCAGAGTGGATCTGCACGTCACGGAAGTAGTTAACAGCGGGTGTTCCGAAACCAGGCATCTCGGGCAACGTCTGCGGCACAGCCGCATTGGAAGAACTACCCGCGACCGTCTTCTCTGGGCGCGGGGGCTTACTCTCCCGAGTCTCCCTTTCAATGAGAGCCCGGGGCGATTTCTCCGTGGCCTGCGGCGATCTCTCAGTGGTCCGCGGCGCCTTAGGCGCCCTCTCCACAGCACCGGCTTGTTCCACCTCATCGATCTCCACGACGGCGGGCCGCTCCGCCTCTTTCCTCTTCTTCTCCGTACGCGGTGGTCGGGGAGCCTTCACCACGTCGTCCACCGACATCATGCTCACGAGTGACAAGAAGTCAACACCTGCGCCAATAGATCGTAAGAAGCCCGTTAATACAACAAAATACAAAAGAAAAAGGAAATAACTAACCATCTCCAAAGAGTTCCGCCAAACAAGCCGCGCGAACACCACTGGAATATAAGTTGATCTTCTCGTCAAGGCACGCCTTGTGCTCTTCCTCGAGCCCATCATACGCGCCCACATCCGACTCAAAACCGCAAGTACTGCCCTTCTTCCAAACCGTGGGCTCCTCCATATGCTCGCTGGCCCACTCCCCGGAGCAGGCTTCACATAGAAGAACCGCTCGAACCAGTTCTTCTCGAGTTTGGGCGAACCATACACATAAACATCGGGTTTTTTATCCCGACGCTTTATTAAAAGGTAGTCGCTTTTCTCCGTGGGCTCCTTTATCTTGTATATCTTGCGGAACAACCATTTGATGGTTGCAAGTTCAACCTCTTGCACACGAGACGGAGGCATGACACATGCATAATAACGGACGGAGATAAACGCGCAACAGAGCAATTGAGGCGCCTATACAGCGCGCACAACAACGGGTCAATGGGGAACTTGAAACCCATTTTCCAAAATCGGAATATACCCCAAACCACCCAGGGGGCAATTCCCAATTCGGCTCCCTCACATTGGGTTTAGGGATAATCAGGCGGGACTGCATACTGTCGGTTGGGGGGCAAGCCCAGCCCGCGTACGAGCTCCATCAGTTCCCTCCGCCCGTAGATAGACACGTAATCCGGCCCGCGCAAAAGGTTATCATGCGGCGCCGAATCTGTCCCAAACATCTCCGCCCAATCGAGGATAGTGTAAGCCGCGCCCACACCACGAATGTCGAGCCTTCTCATGGCCTCAGACACCCGCGAAACGCAGATCGGCTCCGACAGGGTATCTGAGTCCTCTCGCGGGTCCACATTAGCGTTCCCAGACCCACTAGCGCGATCGCGGCGGATTATCAACACCCCGCGGCTGCGCATGATCGATTCTCCACCTGTATGCCCTAGCATACCTACATTGGAGGAGCTGTGTAGGAGATCCCACCCAGACTCGACGTCGCATGACGGCGTCGCCGGAATTCCCTCATCATCAGCTCCGCCGCCATTTCCGTTGCCGGAATCAGCCAAATCCAGCGAAGGATCGGTAGAAATATGTGAAAGAGGGGAAAGATTACCTTCTTCATCTTTCACGACCTCAATCTCGTTGACACTGCTGCTGACCATGATACTCTTCGAGTAATAGCAACAACAAAGGGAGAAATAAGGTTGTAGGAGAAGGAGAGGAATCTCGACGACAAAAACACAGAAGGGAGAAGCAGAGGTTTGCAAGAGGAGAAAGAGGAGAATGACTCCATCCCAATGAAAAAGGAGTATTTATAGCAGTCGAAGAGAAACTGAACGGTTAAAGCTACATGGGGAATCGCAACCGTCAGTTATCTTGAATTTCAAAAAACCGCCGCCCAAACGAGCGAACCACGTGGTGACACGTCGACACCTACAATCATAGGCACTAGGCGGTGACGTCACCAATTTTGTGCATCGCCTGGGGGTGTGGATGGCAATTGGTCGGGTCGGGGATGGATAGTGCATATCCGTTACCCTACCCAAAGTAGTTCGGGTTTTACCCATACCCATACCCACATGTGAAATGGGTAGAAAATTAAAATCATGCCCATACCCGTTCGGGTTTCGGGTATCCGCGGTTATCCATAGGTAATGATTTTTCTTCATAACTATAACCAATATGTTAACATTCACACGTATTCTCACATTACGTAAGAAAAAAAGTACGACAATAATTCACTAGAATGAAGACAATTAATTAAAACAACACAATTTCATGAAAATATTATATTTATATGCTAAATATAAAATATGTTAGATAAAAAAATGATTATTTCTAGACAGAATACATATGCATGTGTATAATCGGGCGGGTTCGGGTTGGATAGTGAGAAACTCATGTCCACCCATTACCCTCAATATTCGGGTTCGGATTTTACCCATACCCACTAAATGGGTTCGGGTTCTACCCTACCCGATTAGGCCGGATTCGGGCGGATATCCACGGTTATGGATATTTTTGCCATCCCTACCTGGGGGAGCATGGGGTACCCGCGGAAAGGGAAAAAAACACATCAAAAATCAATTTGTCACATGAGTCACACACCAAGGGGATCCACACAGACCCGAGCCCATTGCGGGGAGATTAAACAGACGACACTCGCGGAATGCCACCTGATGGGGGCAATTGTTGGGGGGGTGTGACTCGGGTTTAATCGCGCCAAGGAGGCAGCCCTGAACTATCCCAGAGGAGTCGAGCGCCCTAGCACCGCCACGCCCAAGTCTTGAAGCAACGCTCGGAGAAACCAAGACCGCGGAGAAGGTTGCAACACGCGGAGAGACCACGTTCGCGAAGAAGACTGCACATGTCCGCGAAGAAGACCGCCCTCGCGAAACTCCATCCCCGAGGGCGGAACACGCCACAGTAACTAAGGTTCCAAACGACATCGTTTTACTCAAAACTCAGGCTGGATTAAGAAGTCAGAAAACGACATTGTATCCCCTGAAGAGTGGTCACATCCTAGTACTAGGTATAATCATGGGGAAAAGTGTCTAGCTTCGGATAGAGGTATGGTCTAAACGCCTGACAAGTCAGTAGTCATGTCGCATTAAATACTCACCCACCACCATGTAGTCTATAAATAAGGCATTTACTCTAGTGGGTGAGAGATCGCATTTTTTACTCTTTCACTCTATACCAAGGAACTTTCTCTCTCTAAAGAATCCTCTCTATCCTGATCACCCCTCTTTTTCCTGAGTCTCCCTCTTACTCTCAGTTAGACTCAAACATTTAGCAAGGTTGCTAAATAAGCAATCCGCTTTGCAATGCCACATAAGCAAATGGGACCTACACATTCATGCACTCAAATTCTTTCTTTCTTTTTTCTTTCTTTCTTTTCTATCTACTTTGGACACATAAAGCGTTAAGAAATTAAAATCATAAATTATATTTTATTTTATTGAACATGAAAACTTAATACAAAGATATATAGTTGAAGAGATTTGGAATCGATTTGGAGGAGACGAAGATGACGAGTAGTCTAGTATTTTTTTTTTAATTTCATTTTGATTTTTTTTTTTTGTATTTCATTATGTAATTTTTCTTTATTTCTATTTGGTGTATGATATATATTTTGTGTTTATTGAATTTTCAAAATTCTATTATCTATTATGCAAATGTATTGTTAAGGAAAAGAATATGTAGCAGGTCCCCATCAATTGCAATTGCTAACCTATTGCAGTTGATGTAGGTGGTTTGAAATGGTTGAATTGAATAATTGATAAAGTCAGTGATGTGGATGTGGGGTCCATTTATGAAATGGCTAACCTAACCTATTGCAGTGATTTGAGATGGTCTGAAGTCCGCAAACCAAACTTCCACCCCTAGTCTATACAATACTATTAGGAGAGGATTAGGGTGAGTATAGAAAGTCAATCCATGTCATTTAACACGGGACGCAGGTGGTTGCAGCATTTTTTTTTTCTTTTTCTGGTCAATTTGGATTTGGCATCCTCAAAACGGAAGATGGGTTTGAGTGCAGTTAGTTTGTCTGGGTTGGACTTACGAGTCTTATTCTGTTTTCGCACTGCCAAACTGCAAACTAGTTAGCTGAGCAGCGGGCCGCCCAGCCAGCCAGCCAAGCAAAGCAAACCTCCTCTTCCTCCTCCTCCTTCCCACAACTACAAATATTAAATAGCCGGGGCGGGCAAGCGGGTCTACCTTCCTTTCTTTTCCCCCACCTCCTAACCGTATTCTCTCCTCCCAAATTAAATGCCTTCCCCCTTTTCCCGTTCCCTCCACATTACATAAATCCACACCATCGCCGTTCTCCCCAGTTACGTACCAGCCAACCTCTCTCTCTCTCTCTCTCTCTCTAACTTCATCCAGCTCCAAATCTCTCAACAGCCAGAAACATTCGCCCAAATTTTGGACTGCTATAAAGGAAAACCAGCTTCCGATTGCTGCTCTGCATCTTCATCCCCCCCCCCAATTTCCACCACGCAAACCCTACTCCGTTTCCTTTCGACGGGATTCCGGATTCTCAAATCAATTTCCCCTGCTGAATCACTATGGCCCCGGCGGCGGCGGATAATTACAGCCATTGCTACGGAGGTGGAAGCGATGACGACGATCAGGCGCAGACGGTTTGCGTGATGGACGCCTCCGGCCGATTAGGCTCCGCTCTCGTCCACAAGCTGCTGCTCAGAGGATACGCCGTCCACGCCGCCGTTCAGAAGCTAGGTTCGTTTTTTTTTTCTCCCTCTCTCTCTCCTTCGTTTGTTTGTCCTCGATCGCCGTTTTATGATTATCTCCGCCGTCGTTTTTGGCCGTTCCATTTTTTCCGATTGTTTCGAGCTAAGGGATTATTAGTTGGAAGGGTTAGGGGATTGATTGATAGTTAGGTTCCCAAGTAGAATACGGTTCAACGAGTTTCTACCAGAGTTTACTTTCTCCTTTTTTTTTTTCCAATTCATATTTTCTATATTATAGTTTGAATTTGGCTGCAAGTGTGAATAGCTTTTTTGAAAAATTTCTCTTCAATTATTACGATGGAGACTGGAAAGGAGCTTTCCAAAAGGAAAATTGGGGGAGGAGAAAAACCGGAATTTCTAGTTGATAGTTGTAACAGAAGCTACACTCATTAGTCTTCATTCATGCACCTTTAACTTGGTTAATTAATTAATTAATCAATCTTAGAATAGAAAATTGATTAATTAACCCACCATACGTGTGTGAGTGTGTTGTGTAAAGATGAAAAGAATGACCAGTACCTCACTCATCCATGGTGCAACGTATGTGTGTGGATTTAGGATGTGAATGAATACCCACGATTCGCGGATTATTTATTTAATTAATATCTTATCATGATATTTCTGATGCCGTCTTATGAATATACTTTTCAAAATTATATTTACTTAATTCCTCTAGAGTTTGTTGGGTGCTAAATCTTAATTGCTCGTTGTGGTTGATGTTATCATCTCTACCGTATGATTGTCCTAATCGGGGGAAAATCTGTTTGGTTGGATTGGATTGCAGGGAAGTCGCAGCAAAGTTTGGAATTGTCATGGGGTAACCACAAGAATTTGAGGATATTCCAAACGGACTTGTTCGACTACCACACCATAATGGAAGCTCTGAAGGGATGCACCGCCTTGTTCTATTCCTTCGAGCCACCATCTGATCACCCCAATTACGATGTAACAACTCCTCTTTAAAAAAAAAAAACCCCCCTCATTTAACTCCTGTGTGCTGTGATTTATGAACAACAATGGTGGTGACTTTTTTTGCTTGTTGTTGGTGGCGATGAAAAATGAAGGAATTAATGGCGGATGTGGAGGTGATGGCGGCACACAACGCGCTGGAAGCCTGCGCCCAAACGCCCACAGTGCACAAGGTGGTGTTTACTTCCTCAGCAACAGCTGTTCTCTGGAAAGAGGATCGCTCCTCTTCCTCTCTCCTCATCAATGAGTCCAGCTGGTCCAACATTAACCTCTGCCGCAAGTTTAAGGTACTCCTCCCTCCTCCCACCCACTCCTTACCTTATCACACAAATTTTTTACGGCCGCGAGAAACTACTGATCAATTACATAATCGTACTTCAGACAATTTTAGGTGTCATGTTCGAGTCTTCCTCAACTCCCAACACGTCATCTTATCTGATAATCTCGATATTTTATACGAAAATCGAATATCATGTTTTACAAATCGAGTTCATGAAAGAAGTATATGTATAATATACTACCTACCACTTGTCCACTTTACTAGTCTGCATACTTATGGTCACCCATGTCCCTCAGATTTGTATGGTAGAGAAAGGGTATGTCCCCTCTCCCCTTTCATTTTCATCATTGGCACTTTATTTTGCACCACGTGATGATCGTTAACAAAGTCTTCCTCTGCATTTATGCTTTTGGTAATGACAGACAACACACCCAACTAAGCCTAAATTAACAACACAATCTGTGTTTTCAGCTATGGCACGCACTGTCCAAAACGCTGGCGGAGAAGACAGCCTGGGCGCTGGCGATGGACCGGGACATCAACATGGTCACGGTCAACGGCGGCCTCCTCCTGTCCTCCGACCTCACCATCGCCAACCCTTACCTCAAGGGAGCGGCCGAGATGTACGACGACGGGGTCCTCGTCGCCGTCGACCTCAAGCACGTCGTCGACGCCCACGTCTGCGTCTTCGAGGACGCCTCGTCGTTCGGACGGTACCTCTGCTTCAACCACGTCGTCAACTCTCACGACGAGGTCTCCAAGCTCGCCCGCGTCTTGTTGTCGCCCTCCGGCCAGTTCTCGCTCCCTCCTCCCGGCATGGTGGAGAAGGGCGTCCAGCAGCGGATTAGCAACAAGAAGTTGCACGAGCACATGGTGGGCTTCGAAACTGGGCTTCGGATAGATTGATTTGATTGATAAGCCCACGAACTACAACCGGGAAGGCCCGTGACGGACCCAACGTCTCTTACCGGGTAGCAGGCCATGCACCTTTCACAGCACAGTTCAAATCTGAACAGGGATATATAGCAAACAGGCCTAAACTCCTGTCGGGGTTGGAAAAAAATATGCATGAAAGGCGATCCATACAAATGTACAAGTTGTTATATCAGTTTATATCTCTCAATAATATTCAAATTTTGCAACCAACAAACAAGCGCAAACGATCGACCATATGTACAACGATATCGATAGAACGGGATAGTTGAACAAAAATGTAAAATTATAGTAGGTCATGATCAATCGTACTGGTTTTTGTCTCGAATCGAATGGATACTTAACCTCACATTCACATCTAGCAAACAACAGAATTTACTAACGCTTCAGTAATGAGAAGTTAGCAGCTCCATCAACTTGTCAAAGTAAAACATAAACTGGAATGAAAGCGACAGTGTGGTTACTGATCAACCATATGCCCAACAAAAGTAGGGAGGAAATGAACGCTTCAGCATACAGACAAGCTATATACAAATGTTCCTATTACCAAAAAAAAACATACTATTTATATGGTTGTAAGGTTTTTCTTTCCTTTCTCTGGAGGTAGTTGTTTGTTGTATAGTAATGGATGGATGCATCTCTTGGGATTATGTTCAGCATACTTGGAATAACTGGACTAAGTGACAAAAGCCACTCACAGGTGTGACATCAGCACTCTAGTGAGGGCATAGATTGATATATCATTCTGGTATGGTAGATCAAAGGCAGTTACAGCACACTATCACGCACTCAGCGACATGGAGATAACTGAAGAGAGCTTGAATTTGCGGACCTTTGGCGAGTTCTGAGGCTGAAACACGACTTCTGTACTCGATCGTACGGTCTCTTCCTTCCACTCGGACGACGTGGCACCTTCGCTACGAAAATCACGAGCACAGGACAACACTTGGAGCCTCGATGGAGCTGCATCAGTTGGACATTTAGAGAGAAACATTAAATACAAACCAAAGAAATAAGGTAACCAAAGAAGGAAAGTATTCAAGACACTGGGAAACAGGAGTTGCCCAAGACTAGTAAATGCTGTTTCTGGGTCAAGAGAGTATCCCAATATTCCATTTCTGGAAAATGAATAACAGCTCTTGAAAATATAGTGGTGCAGGAAGTGGCTTGGCAGGACCAAGTAAACATGATGGGTTGATCATGAATGCTTGATTACCTAGTCCAAACATACTGGTCTTTTGAACGACGAGCTGACTGACTTTGGATCTTTTGACGTGCTTCAGAGCCATTGTGTCTTCTGTCTTGCCTTTAAATTCCAAGAACTCTCCGAGGACATACTTGCTACCTTTGAGCTCCAGCCTGGAAAAAGCGAACCAGAGTCGAGCCTAATTAATATTCTTCTTTAAGCTCAGTAAGTCAAATATACTACTAATGGCAGCTCAAGTATTAAACATGGGCGCAGAACAAGAGTCTTAAGCACAGAGCAATGTACCTGTCCCACATTGGAGCTGAATTGAGAATGAAATTAAGTTTCTGAGTAAGGGATTCTTGATTCTCCTTCTTTCCACCATAAACTGCTCCCTTAATCCAGCTTAAAGAAAAACTTTTCGATTCTGGCTTCAGGATGGTCCATTGATCATATGTAATCACCTCAGATGGAAAGTAGCTTGCATGGATGGTTCTGCAGCCACAGAAACTTCATATGCTAAAAAAACGCTTAAAGCAGCAAGGCTTAAACACGATATAAGAAATCACCATGCTATCCTGAACTTGCTAACCTTTGCTAAGTATAATCCATCAACTAACTTGGATTTGCGGCATTTAAGAAATTTACAGATTCTCTGCCAGTAAGACTCCTCAGAGTTCTCATACGAACTCAATTGTTCAAAATGGGTCCTAAGTTCATGAAAAAGGAGAAAAGTAGCTAGGAGTTGGACAAACAAGGTTAATCTTGCTTAAAAAGTAAGGTTAAACAGGACATATTCGCTTCACAAGCGGTCCATGGCATTTCAATGACGACATGTGCTTTCTCCGGCAATGGTCAGCGGGCATTAGAGCGGTGAATTGTGACTCCTCCATCCCTATCTGGGTATGTTTTCAGGATCTTCCAGTTGAGTATACCACAGGAAGAATCTTGACTCGTTTAGCTAGCATGTTGGGGCGCCCTCTGTGGTTCGATCAATCTACTAGATTGGGTAGGAGAATGGGGTTTCCTAAGGTCTGTATCGAAATGTCAGTTGATTCTCTCTTCCCTGAGTCACTCAAACTGGTCCCTGATGGAAAGCCTGCGTTTCTGGTAGGAGTGGAATACTGTAACAAACCAATGGGCTGCACTAAGTGTAAGGTGTTTGGGCATCAGTGTGAAAATTCAGGGGCAGTGGGGGCAGAGGAAGTGTCTCAGGTAGACCAGGTGAATGAAGGGCAGGGGCTTGAGGTTGAAGCTGGTAGTGCTAGTCAATTGATCTTAGATTCTGTGCTTGCGTCTAAAGGTAAAGCCCAGGAATCTGCTGAGGTAGCATGTCGGAATCTGAATCTGGCTGTAGCAAATCTGGTTAAATCTATTGAGCAGGGAGTCTTGTCTGAGTGGCAGCGCAATAATGTGGCGCTACCTACAGAAAATGAATTCCAGACGGCGATGGAAGGGCGTCCAGGCATGTTGACTGATTCAGCTGCTGCAGGGGGGTCCAGTACCCCGGTTGCAAATCGGTTTCAGAGTTTAGCTGTTGAGAATTTTGCGGTTGGGGATATCCTTGTGAGTAGTCCTGTTTTGAGCAATCCAGATGAGTTCCCTGTGTTGGAGGCTGGTGATAAAGGTAAGGGGAAGAATGGTAAGAAGGGGCCAGGTAGGCCTGCAAAACCCAAACTAAAGAAATGAAAGTTCTTGCTTGGAACATGAGGGGATTTAATCACCCCGACAAGCAGAGGCAGATTCTGGAAATGGTAAACAGAGAAAATGTGGATGTTTTTGGGGTTATTGAGACTCGGGTGAAGGTAGAAAAATCAAAGGAAATTGTGGCATTAAAGTTTGGAAGGTGGGATTTTGCTCATAACTATGAGTATTCACTGTTAGGAAGGATATGGGTTTTTTGGAAAAAAGATTTGGTGTTTGATGTGATTGAGAGGGATGAGCAGTTTATTCATGGGGTCATAAGGGGTGATAGGGAAGCAAAAATCACGTTTGTATATGGTTCTAATGAAGAGAATGTCAGGAAGCAAATGTACCAGCATCCTGCACTGCAGCCAGGGAGCATGCCTTGGTTAGTATTAGGTGATTTTAATGCCATTCGTGGAGCACATGAAGCTTCAAACAGTCCAGTAAGAGTACAAAGTATGGTGGATTTTGATGAGTGGGTCACTAAAATGGAGTTGGAGGAAAGTAATTTTGATGGTCCCTGGTTCTCTTGGACTAATAGACAGGAGGGTAATCCAATAGCAAGGAGAATTGATCGTGTGCTAGTGAATTCTGGTTGGTTGTCAGCTTTCCCTAGCTATGCAGTTAAACTCCTTCCCCCCAGATTGTCAGATCATTGTGGCTTGCTTATGGATTCTGATATTCACATCTCCTCCCTGCCTAAACCTTTTAAGTACTTCAGTAATTGGGAATCTCACCCTCAATACAGGCAGATTATCGCAGATGCTTGGAGTAAAAGTTTCAAGGGCACTCCTATGTTTGTTGTCTACCAGAAATTAAGGGAGGTCAAAAGGCAGTTACGAAAACTGAATAAATCAGCTTATTCAGAGATTTCCGAGAGGGTGAAAAATGCAAAGGGAGAGCTTGAACAGAGGCAGCTGGAGGCTCTATCTCAGCCTTCTTATGAGTCTTTTAAGAAAGTTACTGATTGTCAGACTCAGCTCTGGCAATTGCTCAAGGATGAGGAAATATTCTACAGGCAAAAGTCTAGGATCCTCTGGGTTAAGACTGGTGATCTGAACACTTCATTTTTTCACAATTATGTGAAGTCCCATCAAGCTCGTTCAACTATAAAAAAATTAGTCTCTGAGGATGGAGTAGCCTTTACTGAGGTTAAAGATATGAGTGAGGAAGCGGTTCGTTTTTACAAAACTCTGTTGGGAACAAGGAATTCTGAGGTCAAGAAGATCAGTGGTAATCTGCTTTCACAACTGCTAGTCCACAAAATGAGCTCTGATCAGTCAGAACCTCTATGTAGACCAGTAACAGGAGAAGAAGTAAAAGTGGCTCTTTTTTCCATGAATGGAGAGAAGTCACCTGGACCAGATGGCTTTACAGCCAGGTTTTTTCAGATTAATTGGGATCTTTTGGGAGGGGATATCACTACTGCTGTGTTGGATTTCTTCAGAACAGGCAAACTTCTCTCAGAGGTAAACTCTACTTACCTTGCTCTTATTCCTAAGGTGCAGAATGCAGAGTGTATGAAACAATTCAGACCCATATCCTGCTGCAATATACTTTACAAGTGTATTGCAAAAGTCCTGGCCAATAGGTTAAAGGATGTTCTCCCCTTAGTCATTAGTCAGAATCAGTCTGCATTCATAAAAGGCAGGCTTATTAGTGACAATATCTTGCTAGCCCATGAGATGGTTAGGCTATATAATAGGAAAACTATCTCACCTAGATGTGCTCTTAAGGTTGATGTGATGAAAGCTTTCGACAGTGTTGACTGGTGCTTCTTAGAAAATGTAATGGCAGCCATGCAATTCCCAGATCAGTTCATCTCCTGGATTAAAGTTTGTCTCAATAGCACGAAGCTTAGTGTCTGTTTTAATGGGGGACTCTGTGGATATTTTTCAGCTCAGAAGGGTCTGAGACAAGGGGATCCCCTCTCCCCCTATCTCTTTACCATAGCTATGGAAGTACTTTCCTGTATGCTGAATAGGGCCTATGCTATTAAAACTCTGCCTCCTCATCCTCAAACACATAGAATAGGGCTGTCCCATTTATGTTTTGCGGATGACCTGCTGATTTTCACTAGAGGGACTCCAGAGGCAGTGGGGCAAACCAAGTCTATTTTAGATGTTTTCTATCTGGTCTCTGGATTGAAGTGCAACCCTGCAAAAAGTGAGGTGTTTTGTGGTGGGGTAGATCCTTCTGTTCAAGCCCAAATCTCTGCTAGCACAGGGTTTGCTATAGGTCAACTCCCTGTACGTTATCTAGGTATTCCTTTGATAGCTGGGAAGTTAACCTCTGCAGATTGTGTTGTGCTGGTGGAAAAGATCACAGCTAGGATCAGGGGATGGAAAGCCAAAACCTTATCCTATGCTGGTAAGTTTCAACTTGTCTCTGCTGTTATTTCGAGCATTACTCAATACTGGATGGGGATCCTACAGCTTCCAGTTAAAGTTCTGAAGATGGTGGAGAAGGCTTGCTCTGACTTTCTTTGGAGTGCAGAGGAGGAAGGGAAGAAGGCAAAGGTGGTTTGGGAAGTGGTAGCTAGGTCTAAGACTGAAGGGGGACTGGGGTTCAAAGACCTCAGAAGCTGGAATGTGGCCTGTTTGGTAAGGCACCTTTGGGCCATTTCCTCAAATTCCTCGTCTTTATGGGCTTCCTGGGTTAGGCAATATCAGCTCCGTTTCACGTCGATCTGGGATATACCTGATTCTGTTCCCTGTTCTTGGGCTTGGAGGAAGGTATTGAAAATTAGGCCACTGGTAGCTCAGCATCTCAGAGTTCATTCAGCAAGGGTGTTTTGGGATAATGCTGCCATGGACAAGTTTTCTGTTAAGAAGGTCTGGGATGCAATTCGTATTAAACATGGGAAAGTTATGTGGCATTCCTTGGTTTGGAAGTCACTGGGGACACCTAAAGACAAGATTATTGTATGGCTGGTTATATTAGGCAGGATTACTACGCTTGATAAAGTACAGAAGTGGAATTCCTCAGTTGTAAATTCCTGCCCCTTGTGTCTTTCTGCTGAGGAATCAAGAGATCATATATTTTTTGACTGCTCTTATTCTAAGACTGTGATTCGTGCTCTGTTTGGAGGTCAAGACATAACTGGTGCTAGCTGGGAAGATTCTCTGGCCAAGGTGGTGTCTTTATTTCAATTAAACTGTCCTACCTCTGACTGTGGCAGGTTGTTGTGGATCATGATGGTGGCTGAGCTGTGGCGCGAAAGATGCAGAAGGATTATGGCAGGCGAAGTGTTGGATGCTGGTAAATTTGTAGACAGGATTAAAAGCTTACTGGAGCTGCTGAGGGATGGCTATCCTCAAGTAGCCAGTGCAGTAACTGAAGGCATTGTTAGCAGAATTCGAGTGGAGGATGTAGTAGATTGTATCTGATTGTTTCTGTTTTAGTTTTCTTGTTTTTTCCAGCGTTGGTTGTATTCTGTTTGCTACTGAGTTGCCAGTTAGGGGGGTCCTTTACAGGGTCTCCCTTTCTTGATGAATAAAGCACCTTATTCATCAAAAAAAACATTTTGTTCAACCCTAGGCAATTTGAAGTGTACAAAGGAAAAAGCCAGCAGGGATGGAGTATACTTAGGCAATAAGTGAGCTAAAAGCAAGCTGCCTATTTCAAACTATTAGGAACTGTGTCAGGTCATGGAAATAGATGCATAGTAAGCTTCCAATTATTTTGAAGCTGTGTCTAATAACATCAGAAACATTTCCATGAATGTTGATAATTACCTGAACTTAGGATTGGGGAGTATAACTTTGTAAGAAAAATATCCTTCTGGAAGAGCGATTCCCCTCTGCTCAAGATATGATTCAAGAATAGAAGCCTGCTTCTTGACCTCTTCGACCTGGAAAATAGAGATTCGTACATGGATCACCGAGGTTTTCCTCCGCCTCAATACCAATGCTGTGAGTGTATGAAACTATGTATACATATTCACATCACCATATCATCTTGTATTTTACTATTAATCTCGTAAACTGAACATAACAAACACCAGTAACATTTTATCACAAAACAGACAGCTTAATCTATGACTCACAGGATTAGGAAGATGCTCAGCTTTGTGCCCACTGCCCCCCTCGCATACCCAGCTGCCATCACCATTCATCGATACCAAACCAGATAAGTTCTTGACAGAAATCACTGCTGCCTCCCTGTTAAACACCGACCGAGGCTTAAGTGATAATGGGAACTTTCAAGACAACAGAATTGATCAAATCCAAGAAAGACAAGCACATGGTGATATTGATATCTCGCTGACACAGTCGTAGAGGAAGAAACACTCACCCTTTTGTTACTAGGACTACATCAATACTCTGGCGTAAACCTGTATCAGGATCTGGTATCCGAAGCCCCACATAGACCTTTCCTCCATGCAGCTTTTCAAGTCTGCAAATCAAGGTATACAAAAGCTGAAGGGCGCGGCAACTGTAACAACACACAAAAGGAAGCTATTCGCAGTGGGAGTGGCGGAATCCATATATGTCAAGAACAGTTCCTTATTCGTTCCCAATCAGCGACGAAATGAAGGAGCGGAAGAGTTTCTTAGTAGCCAAACAAACTCATCGAATCTGAAGCAGATTTCGAAAATTTCAGAGAAATCGAGCAGTTTCAGATTGCGATAGTAACGAACTGAGAAGATCCAACACTAGCAATTTCTTCCTACTCTAGTTTTCCTGTTCTGTCGCACTTTCTCAGCAACCAAACAAGCTAGACAATCAGGTTGAATCATGTATGCAAAGAGGAAATGCTACGGGAAAGGTTATCAAAAGCTGGAAAATGAGAATTTCGCGAGCGTACCGATTGGCGACGATGAAAACGGCGTTGGTGTCGGAGGTCTCGACATCTAGAACATCATCGCCGGAGCCGAAGAAGCTGCGGAAGAGCTTGTAAACGATGAGTCCGCAGAGGATCTCCACCCACATGACGACGACGACGGAGGGAAATGGTAGAGGTTGATTCGGAAGGAATGCGGAAAGGCGAAAGGGCAACTCGAGGTGAATTGAGAAAACGTCCGAAGCAATTCCATTTCCACCCCAAGTTCTAACAGCACCACCACCGACGGCAAATTATTGTTTAGTACACTAATTTTGGCAGGCATTAATAATTTCATCCCTGAATTGTTTGATAAACGGTACGTTTTGTGCAACTCCAACATTTTAATGTTTCATTAATCACTGTTTTTAGGGGTGGGCATGCGGGTGTGGTTACACCCATGGTTGCTAAATTAGTGGTATGACGGTCGGTATAATTGGGTTCAACTGATATCGACTACAAAATTGGTTGAAATGTTTTCGACATGATTGAACAATTTTGCCTACATTCATCACATGCTTTTTTTGTTGGGCTTAAGGAGGATGACCCATAAGGCTATTGGAAGGAAATTTGAAAATAGAAGGGTCCAAGCCGCATACGCCATTCTATTTGGCTTGCGTACCAAAGCAAGCTCATGAACACTAACACTATGTTCATGAAGGAAGGGAGGAAAAGGAGGGGAGGGTAGGAAAATTTGGAGGGGAGGTAAGTTTGGAAGGGAGGGAAATTAGAGGGAATTGGAAAGAAAATGTTGTTTAATGGAGGAAAGTGGAATGGAAAGTGGGAGGGAAAAAGTAGATTGGGAATTGTGATATGTATTATATTTTATTGATGATAGAATAGTTAAATAATTTAATTATGTGTTTATACTATTTTACATTAATTATGTAATGTGGATCAAATTTGTTCTTCTTTGTTAATTTTGTTAACTACAACAAATCAAAAGTTGGTTATTTGAATGAAATTTGTCAACCTATTACTAAAATTTTGTTAACTATTTTATTGAGTAATAACATAGCAACTAAATATATAAACATACAACAAATTACAGATACATAAATTGTCCAAAAAGCAACAGGATAATAGTAATTTCCCAAATATAAGGTCACATGCTAATACTAGAAGTACATACATTCATCCAAAATAAAGGTATCCGCTAATACTAGACATACATAATACAATACGTCCAAAAGAAGGTCACATAATAATATTAGACTTACATAAGTTCGTCCAAAAGAAGGCAACCTGTTAGTACTAAGTAACATGCTAATACTAGAAGTGCATAAATCCGTCCAAATGCATCTGCTAATACTAGAGATACATAGTACAATCCGTCCAAAAAAAGGTCACCTGATAATACTATACTTACATAAGTCCGTCCTAAAGATGGCAACCTGTTAGTACTAGGTAACATGCTACTAGACCACATCAAAAGTCAACTTGCCAGAAGGTTTGTTTTTTTGCCAAATCAACAATGAATTGTTGTCTATACTCTTCTGGCAAGCCAAATAAAGCCCTTGTGGTATCCGGATTTTTTGCTAGATACTTATAGCCATTCAACCTCATTTCACCAGGAATATCATAGCGTTGCAATTCTTGGAAAATTTCTCCCTCTTTGTAGATGTGAGTCTTATGATGGTCAAGAATCACCAAAGACCTCTCTTTAATCTCATTTCCTTTCTCCATAGCCTTGGCAGATCGTTCAGCAATCACATTACCTTTCTCTATACCTGATGCCATCCTACTCATGTTGACAGCCATGATTTCAAATTGATTGGCAGATACATCTCCCATGGGAGCTTTTCTTTTGGTTCCCTTTGAAGAGGTAGTACCATGAGAGTCGACTGATGGTGGAGGATCAGGAGTAAATGAAGATCTACCATCGGAGCTATATGCATTTGTGCCTTCACGAGGTGTAAAAGGTGAAGGAATATAGGCATTCATACCTTCATCATCTCCTGACATGTTATTCAAATCAATGTCGAATGCAGGAGACCTCATATCCCAACGTTCGATCCTCTCAAATGCACTTGCGGCTCCTTCTCCGGTTGCTCTAAACTCCCCATACAACTCAAAGAGTTTGTCATAGTTGTTAATGGGTGTCCTAATCCATCTGCTAGCATTCGGCTTCTCCTACATTACAACAATGAATTTTATGAACATAGTGTATGTGAAAGTCAAGGCAAAATGGCAAAAAATAGATCATATACCTGAATTAGTTGCTTCCATACTTCTGGTTCAGCTTCAAAAAGTTTGGTTACTGGATTCCATGCAAAGCCACTCATGTTATGGAATAAGTCTTTCACAGTTGCAAAGTGCTTTTTCAATGTCTTCTGCCTATTTTTTATTTTCTCCTTGTCGAAATTATGCGAAAACAGCCCACGCAAAGCAATAACGACATTGTTATAAGCATGAGTTGTGAACATGCCATCTTGCCTGTTCCCCTTACGTTGCTCGGCTAGTAGACTTTCTAGCAAAGCATTGTCCATCTCCTCTGTCCATTGTAGATTCTCCTTAGTGGATGTCTCCCCCACAATTGTCTGCTTCCCTTTTGGCCTTTTGCTCATTGTGCTTCCTTTTGAAAAAATTGAATATTAGTCATCACAACTAGAAAGTGGATAAAGACATAATTGCAAGTACTTCAGTTATGGGGAAAAATAAAATAGACACAAATAAAGGCACAAAAGCCTTTCATATGGAATAATGTACTAGAAAACATCCCACGTAAACAAAAGTAGTACAAATTGTACATAACATCTATTCAACATGAAAACCTCAAAAGTAATAACACAACTACAAACACGTGTCAACCTTGTTGCATATTATAATCATGCCACATGTGTTCCGCTATACTATCACGTAATTCTATTCCAGCTCTTGTTTCGTCTTCACATTGTGACTCATTTTGCCTTTGCATCCTCTCGAGTTCTCGATCAACTTCTGCAATTAGTTGCTCATCGGGGTCGACTCCTATAAGAAAGTTATGTATGATACAACAAGCTAGGATAATGTCGGTAGTTGTGCCGAAAGAATATTGTGGCTCCATACCGGTGCCAATAATAGGAAATCTCTTTTTCAACACCCCAAAACATCTTTCAATCGAGTTACGTAGACTAGCATGACGATGATTGAACAATTCTTTAGCATTCTTAGGACCATTACGGGAATACTCCTTTAAGTGATACCGAACACGTCTGTATGGTGTTAACAACGAAGCACGTAACATTAGCCCACCATCTCCGAGATAGAATTTCCCTATAGGTTATTAAAAACATTAATGAAAATATGAATGATGCAAGTAATGGTGAAACACATACAAGGATGATTATGCTACATGACATACCTTCTGGTATTACAAGCCCATGTGGTCTAGCCAATGCATCTTTTAAAATTCTTGAATCAGATGCTGTCCCTTCCCACCCAGCTAAAACGTATAGGAATTGCAAGTCAAAGTTGCATGAAGCTAAAACATTTTGAGTAGGCCATTCTTTCCGACCTCTAAAACGAGTTTGACTGGCGCGATTTACTTTCACTCGAAAGTGTGTACCATCAATAGCCCCAATGCAATCCTGAGGAGATATGTATGCAGACATCTAAGTATACATGATTTTGAAAGACACTTTAAGATATGGTAATATGTAAACAATGCAAGTAATGAATCATTACCTTGAAGTACGGAAAAAATCTAGAGTTACTGCTTATTACGGAGGACACTGGCGTTGTTGCACTAGGTTGATTCAGGAATTGAGGTGCTAAACTTATCACAGCTCGCAAGACATTATGAAAATGATTACTGATAGTCCCAATACTTCGATGATAATAGAAAGCCAGATTGCGATACTTGCCACCAGTTTGGGCAAGAATAGACAAAAATCTTGCTACTTGCTCTTCCACTGTGGCACGATTATAATCTTGCAACACTCCTGTACCCCGTAATTTTTCACAAAAAAGAGCGAACACTTCTACCCCCATACGTAATGTTGCACGACATGAAACTTCATGATTACGCAATTGTTTCAGAAGATCTCTTCTTTTATCCTCTCTTACTTGAAAACTCAACCCCCACGATCCACTGGAGGCTTGTCTATTTAATAGATGCAATGCATGGACAATGTAGCAAATAAGTTGTATGACACACATATCTCTTTGTCTCTGCCAATTTTCCATGACAATTCTCCAACTATCTTGTTCTGTTCCATGCAAATCTAAAATCTCTTCCAACCCATCAGTAATATGATCTTCAATCTCATTTGAATCTTGAGCTTCTCTATCCATCTAATCAAATCACCAAGGATAATTAAGTTGCTACGTTAATGCTGTAAAATTTATTCAACACACATATTATCATTTATACATTCATCCGCAGATGAATGACTCTAGTGGCTAAATCACGATGTTCTCTTTTTAAAGTCAGGTTCTAGTTCTAACAAATAAGCACCATGAAACATCTTAAACAAAAGAAAAGAGCAACCTGTAAATCACGATGTTCTCTTTATAAAGTCAGGTTATAGTTCTAACAAATAAGCACCATGAAACATCTTAAACAAAAGAAAAGAGCAACCTGTAAAAGCACAATCACAACAACCAGAGATCAAAGAATCAAAACCATCTAGTCCTAACAAAGAAAATAGATTCAACAAAGGGTAACTAGAGCTACATAAAGGAGGCGACAATGAAAACAACTAACCGTTCAGTTTATATCATAAACTAAGAAAAATCAGAGGCAGCAGCCTAAGTCAAACCGGTATAATGCAGTCGACAATCAGTAGAGTAACATACCTTGTGGCGTCAACGACGGACACTATTGTCCCCCAACCTCAAGCTAGCGTAGGTCTCCTAGAAGCCCAGAACGACCGAGAGAGGGAAAAAAACAGAGGGCCCCAAAGCAACAATAGCAACCTGTAAAATAGAAACAGTAATTTTATATACCTAGCTTTTCTGATTTGGGGGAAAATGGAAGATGATGAAATTTGGGCTAGAGTTTCTTACCATGGACATCAGAGAATGCTATGTTTTTCAGCTGTTGGCCATAGAAGAATGAAGCAGACTGTGGGACAGCTCTAGTCTGGGAAGAAGAGCGAAAGTTCAGCAGCAGCCAAGGGGATCTGTTTTGAGTTAGATGCTGGACTTTGTTGGCGATGGATATACTGATATTAGGGTAGGAAGGAATTAGTGGGTCTTGCCATAGGAGGGAATATATGGATCCCTGGACTTGAGCAGCCTCACTGCTCACTGGAACATCATCCCTTCCCCTGCGAACCCTAGTTTTCTGATTTGGGGGAAAAGGAAAAGAAAAGAAGTTCTGATTCGGGAAGAAAATCAACAAAGGAAAAACATATGACAGATCGAGATTAGCCACAGAAACGAGAGAAAGGAGTTTGAGGAAGAACGATGAAGAGGGAGCTGCTCGCACAAAAAAAAAAAAAACTTCGTTGATGGAGAGATGGCAGATCTTCGATTAATGGAATGAAATGTATGATATATATTATGGGAGATGGTTGAAATATAGATTTGTTGCCATTATTTGTGCAATGGGAGCAAGATGGCGGACAAAGAATAACAAAAGAAAGATTGTGGAGAAAGAAGCTCTGTTTTTCTTCCACTGGTTCGTCTCTTTACTAGTGGAGAAGGAAGAAGATTGTGGAGATGACAGATGAGAGAGGAGATAGGCAAATAAAAAAAGGTGGGGAATTAATGGTTCTGTCTCTTTTCTCCCCAAATTGGGGGGTTGGGTGGAACAGTACCCCTATCCCCCTTTTCCTTCCCTTTGTCACTATTCTAATTTTAAAAAACGGTGGAAAGTATCTTGGGAATTGATGCTTTCCCCCATTCCCTACCCTCCCCTCCTTTTCTTTTGCAAATGAACATAGTGTAAAGAACAAAAGAGGCTAAAGTTGATGATGAGCATCATGTGTGCTCTTTTCTAAAATGAGGTTGTTATCCAGGATAAAATACTTTGGGTACCACTTAAGTTTGAGAATTGTGGCAGACATACCACTTAAGTTTGAATAGGGCGTCGGGTACCACTGAACTCTATTATTTGTGCACCCGGTACCACTTAAGTTTAATGTTAGGTGCAGACCGTTAAAGTTAACAGAATATTCTTAGAATATTCTGTTTTCTAAATTTCTTAATTGGTCCTTCTACTTTTATTATTGTAAAAAATCATTTTGACTTATGAAAAACATCAATTTTTATTATTTAGTTGGTATTCTCTTTTGAAGTTTTGATACCAAATTAATTTTTGAATAGAAAATTTAGAATCAACTATCATTATAAGTATTTTCAATTATCATTATATTTTCTAATAATTGAATTATTCTCTAAAGCAAATATATCCTATGAATTCTATTTAGTTGGAATCCTCTTTTGAATACTTTGATACCAAACCAATTTTTGAATAGGAAATGTAGAATCAATTATCATTATAAGTATTTTCAATTACCATTATATGTTATAATAATCGAATAATTTGATGAAGCAAATATATACTATGAATTATATATCGATATAAATCATCTGAGGATGTTATATTTATTTCTCGTACATCATGCTGGTGTTGTATAATTTTCTATGTTAAATATCCTTGTAATTTTCTAATATTATATTTTAGATGTTTAATTCTTTCTGACTCGATTCCATTTAACCTTCTTTGGTCTTGATGTATTGATGATCGACTTGGTTCTATTTTAAATATTTTTAATAGTACTTCTAATTGGATTAGCAATTTTAATAGATCTTATAATATTGATTTTAAATATTTATTATTATATTCTATATATTTATTCTTCTTCTTGGTATTTATTTATTATTTTTACTAATTTATCTATTTTATTGTCAATTTTGATTAGTCATTTTAGTAATATTATGTTTAGAAGTTTTTTTAATTTCTATATTAGATAAAAACTTGTTGAAATATAGTTTTGGATGTTTTTAAAAGTTTTGGGTACCAAAAAGTAATTAAAATTTTGGGTTGGATGGAAAACTAGACGAATGCACATTTTGACGATTTTAATGGTACCCGACGCCCTATTCAAACTTAAGTGGTATGTCTGCTCCAATTCTCAAACTTAAGTGGTACCCGAGGTATTTTACCCTTGTTATCCATGTTCTTAAGGACTCTGCGATGACTAAACAAGCTTGGAATGTGACGCGTGATCGGTTCTCACGCATAGTGAAATTCAAATGTTTCTATGAAAGAACTAAAGAACGCAATAAAAGATAGATCTTCAATGTGCTTTGAATTGCTAGATAGTCGATATGGAGTGCTTTATAGGAGTAGTTTTCATTTACAAGAGTTGTCGGTGTATGAGGGATTTTACTCTTATCTTCCTCTTTGGTGAGTTGATAATGTTTGCTACTTAAGGTAAGAGATGTGTGCGGGATTTTATACTTTCTGGAATCTGGACTAAAAAACGGTTGCAAAATGTGCTCGCCTTTGAAAAAAATTGAGGTTCTCACGTGAGAGGCAACCGAGCATAGTGTTTGACTTGAGCCGTCGAAGGGCTCTTCTCTCGCTCTAAATGCTTATTGAATATGTGTTTGGGGTTCGGATAGCTTTACCGCCTCCCGATCATCTTTTACTACCTTCCGAACCCCCCCCCCTCCACCCAAACACCTCTCCTCCTTGCGGACTTGTATGGCAAGGTACAAAGCACCTTTTAACGAGCCATGAGACCTCGACTCTCGTTTGAACCTGACATGTGTGGCCACCCGTATGTCATTGAGACATAGATTGCAAGCTGGGAACTGGTAATCGGGAAAAGAATCTGACCATCAAGTTCCCCACATGGGGCCTTGATAGGAAAGACAATGTTCCTTTCTCTTTCGCTCATGAGGGAGAGATGCCAATATGAAAAATTGCAAATATTTGGTGCCAAGTGCAGCAAAGTTTGAAAAAGGAGACCAAAAATAATAATAACTCCTACCTTGAAAAGAAAGAATATAGATCACCTTCACGAGTCTATTGCTTTTATTGTTTTTAAAAGTCCCCCGGTGCACACCTTGAATGTCTTCACATACTTAGTCGACATGGTCCTCGTCCAGGAGTTTGTGGTTGAGATGAGAGTAACATGTACTCGACCCCAAATATTCTAACTAGTGCAACGAAGAAATATAGCTCATACCATGTTGATTGTTTATCAAATTGTACTAGTTTGAGTAGGTTTGCTTGTCCACAAGCAAACACCTAAAAGGGGGGGGGGGGGGGTCTTGTGAACTCATCAGCCATAAAAGTGCAAAACAGCAAGGCCCGAGATCGCAGCCTCCTCTTCCCAGATTGCGCCTGCAAACTCTGCAAGTTCCACCCTGAACTTGGCCGATATCCTAAAATCTAAAAATAGGGGGTTCCTCCCCCTCATTTAGGAAGATGAAAACAATTGAGAAATTTTTGGTTTGAGAGGGAGAAAGTAGAGAGAGAAGCTTAATGAAGGAAAAGAAGGAGGAAGGGAGCTCTCCCCAATTCAAGTCTTCTTCTACTTCTCTACATGTATCTTCTTCACTCTTTTATGGAGTAGTCCTCTAAGGTACTAGGAGTTAAAATCCCCACCCTAGATTAGGTTTTGAATGTAGATGTAATTGTGTTAGGGTTTGTGAATGGTTTTGTTTATTCTATGATTATATGCTTCATTTATGCTTGATTATATTGTGACTTGTCTCTCCAACTCTTCCCTACTAGCCTATAACTCAGTCACAGAACTAGGTGAGAATTTTAGGGTTAGACTGGATTTGAGCGCCTTAAGGCTAATTGGAGGTAGATGATTAATCTTAGGGTTCCTTTTAGTGGACGAGACGACCGTACCCTTGCTTGAGGAATGCTTTCCTAAGACAATGCTAGAGATAATGCAAGCGTCATCGATCCATCACTTTAGTGTGCCTGATAGGTTGAACCTATTGAGAGGAACTATCGGTTATTCCTTAATACGTGAGCTTGGTTGAGGTGACCATGGGTCTTTGGGAGCATACTAGGAGGAGGTGGAGTATTCATTGAAACCCTCATTTTAGCGAGTTCCGCACCTCATCTTGCAAACCCAACATAGTTAGTCATTTACATGAAGAACCTTGATTTAGGGGGAGGGAGTTACCTGGAAGTACCTGCTTTGTATCCTTGCTTTCTCCACCAGTATTTTCAATTGACCTCCAAAAATCCAACTAAATAGATTGGCTAGATAACAACAACGTGAGAAGTAGACTAGGGTATCAAAACCCATGGAATACGACATTGGTCACCACTATATTAGAAACGCCATTTCGAGTTTTACTTGGCTCGGAATGGGGTAGTTAGTTAGTTCGTGCAAACAATTGGCATGGCCCACAAGTGAGTCAAGAAGTGCACAATACTAACACGACCTGTGAGCCGTGATTGATGACACAGGTTAGTGCGCCCTTCATAGTCCGCTTTTAAAAACAAATTTATGACTAAAATTATGAGTTAGTTGGAATTATTGGTGTTATCCTATTAAACAAATGACGACAACACATCCGAAATCCAGTTAAAAATCAAAATTAAACAAACAAGCTAATATTAGGCGTTTGTCAACTTATAGGCTAGAAGTAGTATGCAAGTGTATTTCTTTGTTTTTTTGTTCTTTGACAATGATGAAATTATTTCATTAAATTTGATAATTACAGAGATTACTAAATCATGATTGATGTCCACTCTTGTTTGGATCAATCATATTTGGGTCTCCACAGTCCACATGGACAGGGAAATTACAAAATATGCATACTTGCTTTGTGCAGTGTCGTCCCCAATTAAAATAAATCCAAAGTGCAGATATGACATTGGCATGGAACCCTCCCTCTATGGCATTTTATTTTCTAAATAAATTCTTAACTGTCTCAGTCTGTCCTGCTCAGGAATATTTACAAGAAGACAGATACATTTCTTTTTTTCCTAAATAACGTTGACAGTAGCTGAATTATCTATCTGCTGCTTGCTGCTACAATACAAATCAGTTTTAACAATAACTTTATTATTATTGTTCTTTAATATTCGGTTGAATGATTGAGATGGTGGAGGAGCTGGCCACGCTGATATTGGTCACAGCTGGCTCCATCATGCGAGTTACATTATTTCTATCCAACCCTCTGCCTCTGGTCCTATTCTGATCCAGTTGGCCGCTCAGCGCAATAATTATTCAGAATTTCTTGATCCAAATTCACTAAACAACGGACTGTAAATACTAAATATCAATAGCATTCGTTGTGATGCCTTGAGGGATTTTGCCTCACCAAATGGGATGAAATGTATACTCGCCATTCCACTAAAACCCAGTACTAATACTGCATGAAACCGAAAGGAATCATCTTCAATGACAATAATTTGTGCAAAGAACAACTGTAATAAACTATAAACAAAGACATGAAACTGAAAGAAACAATTTTCATTCCATACAATATACTCTCTCCCACCACTCTGATTCACAGGAACAACAGAGAGAAGGTAGAGACAGAAGGAAGAAAAAAATAATAATGAAGATTGATTACAAAGCCCCATTTCTCTTCATTGTGAAAACTGGAAACTAACTCAAAACAATGAAAAAATGAAGGAAAACAGCGGATACAGAACAGCATTCAGAAGCCATAAACTTTTATCTACTATAGACGATGTTGTAATTTTTACCCTCAGTTCATTATTTCTGGTTGGGAGTAGTGCTACCATTTGTAGGACTGGCAGTGGTGGTACTCTTCTTCTTGAGCAGGCTCCCAAACTTATGAAGCAAAGGCTTCTTCTTCTTCTTCAGCTGCTCAGGCTGCTGCTGCTGCTGCTTGGAAGGTGAGCTCCCACCATCATCTGGGTTCTCTGTTGAGGACAAACCATTTAGCTGATCGAAACTCTCTCCGCCCTCGCCCTTAGACTCCCCTTCCTCCTCGAAGGACGATTCCTGTTCATGGTGCTCTCTCTCGGGCGAGAACTCTTTCTTCTCAATCTTGCAGCTCTCCCACATCTTGAACTCCACTTCAACTGTGTCGTCTTCTTTGTCTTTCAGCTCTTCTTTATTCCCCTTCTCTTCAACGCCACCATTCTCCATCTTGGTGGCGACAACCATTTCAGCAGGTTCAGAATCTATTAATGAGCCGTTGCTGTCTTCCTGCGACTTGCCATTCATTGGCTCCTCAAGGTTCTGAGACTGAGCTGGAAGCCCCATCTTGATTTTCTCTTCACCTACATGTCCATTCTCTTCAGAGAATTCAACCACCTTTGGTAGCAAATCATAGTCCTTCTCACTGTCACTAAGCTCACCATTTTCCTCACTTTGCTTCTTGGACTGAGCTTCCTCAAGCAACCTGGACAACTCCTCGATTCTCTTTACAGAATCAGCTTCCCTGATGTGGAGCTCTTCGTTCTCTTCAAATATGCTTTGTAGCTCATTCTCTTTGTCCAGTAAACTCTCCTTCAGTTTCATGCTCTCAGCTTTCGCCTCTCCAAGAGCTTCCTGCAAAGAAACTGCTTCAGCTTCCACTTCCTTCAAGCTGTTCTTCAACCGAGCCTCTTCCTCCCTTGTAGCACAAGCTTCTTCTTCCGTATGCTTCAGCACATTGACCAGCCTGTCTATTTCTTTTTCCAGAGCTGCGTTTTCTTCACCTGACTTCTTCACACAATCCAAGAGGTTTTGCTCTTTGATCTCCCACTCAGACTTGGACTTCTGGAACTCATTCTCGGATTCTTCTACCGAGCTCTTGAGAACATCAATCTCATGTTTTGCATCATCCATCATGGTCTCGTATCTCTCGTTCGACGCCTTGAGAACTAATCTAAGATCTTCTATCTGTGTCTCATAGCCTTCAATGTCTGTTTCGCTTGACAACAGTTTCTCTTTTGCTTCCCTGGCTTCAGCAGACACTTCATGTAAAGCTGAAGCTAAACTCTCCATTGCACGCTTGCTCTTTTCCTCCTCTTCCTTATAATTCTCTAGTTCAGTTATGAGTTGGTTCTTCTCTTCTAGCAGGCCTTGAACACTAGAAGCAGCAAGCTTCTCGTTGTTCAGGGCCTGGATCTTATCTTCCTTCACTGTTTCCAGCTCCAACTTGAGAGACTCAACTGCCTTCACCAATCCTGATGCATCTTCCTGTGCAAGGCAGGCACGGCGTTCTGACTCATCGAGATCTGTTTTCTGCCTTGCTATCGTCATTTCCAAAAGTCCAACTTTCTCCTTCAGACCCATGATCTCAGTCTCTGCATCATGCAGCATATCGTTGTTGCCCTCGAGCTGTTTCATGACTGAACACAGAGATTCTGATGCAGACCTCTCTAGCTTGTTTGCTTCAGTAACTTGGGACTCTAGCTCCTCAACCCTAACCTTCCATTCCTCAGCTAGACTGCGCGCATAAGACTCAGCCATTTTAGCAGCTTCCACCTCAACATTGAGCTGTTCTATAATACCCTCTTTCTCCATCAACTTACCCTCAAAAGCTTTGGCTTTCTCAAGCTCCTGTCTCAAAGAACTTATCTCTTCCTTGAGCTCCAACACCATCTTATTGCTCTCACTGGCCGCGTTCTCAACCTTGGCATCAAGCAAACCTCTCAATCGGGCCAACTCGGTTGAAAGAATCTCCACCTTCTCTGCATGAATCTCTGCGATCTTAGTAGCATCATCAGCATGACTAAGTGCCTGGTTTTTAGCATCCGTTGTCGTTACCAGCTCTTGCTTCAATCTCTGGAGTTCCTCAGTAGTGGACAAAAGGGTAGCAACATCCACTGCATGTTGGTCCCTCACAGATTCGATCTCCTTCTGGCATTCCTGTTCCTTCACTGTTACAGCCTCGATCCCAGCTTGCTCCAGCTCAACAGCACGGAACTTCTCGATTTCGGAATCCTCTTCGGCTCGCTTTTGAGCCACCAAAGCTTCTTGCAGCTTCCCATTTGCCTCCTCAGCTGCCTTCTGAGCAATTTTTAGCTCGTTAACAGCTTGATCCTTCTCCTTCTCGATCACAGAGATCTGCTCTTTGGCTTTCTTGAGATCTTCCTGGACTGCATTCAACTGAGCCTGCAGTTCTGATCCCTTCACCGCCACGCCACGAGCCAGTGGTTTCTGGAAATTTCACATTCCAAATCAAATTCAGATCGCAAATTTCATCCACAAGAGCCTAGAACTTACATTCAAGCACAGCAGAGCAGAACTTGGCAGGCAGACATGGAAGAAAAAGAAAGGACAGCCAAATGAGAAATTCAGGACTTACTTCAGGTGGTGTGGCAGCCTTGGTTGGTCTGCGAACAGCAGAATTAGGAGTGGGCTTGGAATTGGCAGATCCAGGGGAGGAGCGGTCCAAGGAGAGGCGTGAACTCGGCTGGGGAGAAGGTGAATCAGCGTCTGATTTAGCTGCTCCCCTGTTGAGTTTACTTACTCTAGGAGTTGCTGGTGATGGCTTGGTAGGAGTTTCAAACAACCCAGATCTGTCCCAATCCCACAAAGGGAAAAAGATAGCATCATCAACCTATTAGCTTAACCATGTGCGAAGAAACCTTCACATCACATCATCATCAAAAAAACTCTCAAACAAAGCTTCACACAGACATTTCATCAAACACATGAAATCAAACCTCAAGGCAGAACACCATTTCCCCAATTGGATCAAAACCCCATCTTCATTTTACTGATTGCACATTCCCACAGATCCAAAATAGCAACAAAACCAAAAAGCACCCATAACAAATTCCCAAGTCAAAAGGCGTGCTTGACCCAAGAAAAGACGCAAACTTGGGGAGGTAACAGTTCACTAAAAGTGATTAGATCCGACAAAAAAGAAAAAGAAACCGCACCGAAATTGGAATCGCAACTTCTCACCCTAATTCACCAGCAGCAGATCTAGGCAGAAGAGTTGTACATATAGAGAAAGAGAGAGAGGGAGAGCAGAAAGAATGTGGAAGTAGTAGGGAAGTCGACTCACTTGGATTTGGAACCCATGATTGAATGCTTGGGGAAGGCTCTGTTTCTCGTTTGTTTCCCGAAGTAGAGTTCTCTGGTGAAGGGACTGCGGACAGCGGAGGGGAGTAAATGCTAGAATGGAGCTGACATATCTTTGGGGGTCGGAGAGAGAGAGAGAGAGAGAGAGAGAGAGAGAGAGGATGAATGAAAGAAGAGCAGGAGTGGCGCTTGTTCGTTTGTGTGGTGAGATCAGAGGCGATATAGTGAGAGAGAGAAGAGAAAGAAAAAGCGGACAGGGACAGAAGAGAGGCAAGCGGCAGACATGGACATGGCTAGGAATGGGAAGGGAAGGATAAAATACAAAGGAGTGAAGACAGATACAGTGTGATATTTACCTGTCTCTACAACTCCATAAAACCAGTACAGAAAGACAGAGTGAGTGAGTGAGTGTGTGGGGGAAAAGAAAGGGAGGGTGAAGTGGTAGAGATCGAAACCAGGAAGCAGCAACTTCACTTTCGATCAGGAAGAAAGAAATGCTCAAGAAAATGAGAAAAAGAAAAGAAAAGGCTGGGAAAAGAAAAGCCTCTCCAGTCTGTTACTCTGTTCAACCCACATGAAAAGGAAAAGGTAACCAATAAAGGAAAAGGGAATATAAGATGATTAAGTTGTAACTTAATCCACAATTAATGTTACATAACGGTGATTTTGTAATTTTCAAAGTTTACATAAACCGAAATTATCAAAAATTTGAACCCCTTCTAGTTTCGTTCCCAAACCTTATTTTCATACAAACTTGTAGGAATTTCATTACTCGGAACATAATAGCGTGCAAATCACAGGTTGGGGTGAGCAGCGGGTGAGTTTATGCGAATTTGGGTGGGTTTGGAACCACCCACTATGTGGTGAGTGAAGAAAAACATGAATCATATCTACCCAAACATTACATGTGGGTGGGTTGGGTTGGGTATTGCGGTTTGCGGATGATGGGTGGTTGGTGGATTGGATGAGTTTATAACATATATTTCATATGATCACATAATTTCAATATTTTTAAACTTAAAATGAAAGAAATGTTCAAACTTATTAACTCTTAATCCATAAATCAATTGAATCGTTTATTATACAACATTGGTATTGACAATTGTCCACAAATGACAAAATATTCGACTGATAAATATGGTCTAAACCTGATAAGACACAGGTTCAAGAAAGTAGGTTAATTGCACCACATACCATATAAGTATTGAGTTTGTTGCATACTAACCACTTATATTATTTTTGTTGCAACTAAACCACATAAATCGATTTTTAGTTGCATCGTTACATTTTCCGTCACTAAATTTAACGGCGGGTACCAATCTGAATTTTTACATTCCACAAACATTCCAACTCATCCTATGGTGGGCCATAAAATCCAGGTGTCTCTTTGGAATCTTTGACGAATTCCCTCTACTCGTTGCACCTTGCACCGCATTAGAGGGTAGTCCATCAGACCTTGGTCGGAGGTATATGAGTTACCGGTGATCGGAAAACGGAAATCATGGAGTGGCTCAAACTTGAAATCCAACGATCCCTAGAGAGCATCAAATCGACGACAAGCATCGTATATAGGTAGGATGAAATAGCAGGCCATGAAGTTCTGAATTGGTGATTGAATAGGAAGTAGAACAAGACCATTAAATCAAACATATCATATTGCACCGAGATTCAATCGAGTTTTAGCATGGCTACTAGCAAGACTATCAACTTCTTAACTGGCTTCTATGTTAGCTATAAAAACTAAAACAGAGTATGAAAAACAAAACAAAGAACAATAATGAAAACAGAGCATATCAAGGTTTACTAATTGGGTTGTTAGAGTGTGGATTTTTTGTTTAACTAACCTCGCGTTCATTGTACATTGGGACTTTGATTAAGACCATGGGGTAGCCGGAGTTTCCCATTTCGGCGTCGCCTTCATCGATTCCCATTTGTAGCACTTCTCCGGCCGCTGGCCAACAACTTGATCAGAATAATGAGGACTCCCATGTACACCCGCTCGATGAACAACATGACCAACATGATTAAGCGTTTCTAGGGATCTGGAATTTCACTCAAAGTTCTGCAGTTTCTCTTTCCATCTCCTCCCTCTCAAACAACGGTACCCCAATTTGACCGCTCAAGATTCGCTGCCCGATTCGTCTCCTTTGGAGCTCTCCAACCGCTCAAGAAAGTCACAGCTGACGGGGGAATGAACGAAGTTGCCGTTGTCGCTCCAAGCAACCACAGACCATAATCCAGTGACGAATCTGCTCGAACCATCACAAGCCCAGAAATCGCAACACGATGAACCCAAATCGAAGAAAACCCAAATCCAAAATCAGATCCGATAGTGCATGTGATACAGGCGTGTGCAGATGTAGAGAGCGTTGGTTGGGTTCTCTGTGATTTGACCATCGACGGCCATCCCAGCTATGTTGCAACTTCATAAACCCAAAAAACCGTCGTCCTCGGGCTTCGTTGTCATCTTCGACAATCCCAGCAGCGTTGCTTCGAAAACCCAGAAAATTGTCCTCCTCGGCCCTCACCGTCTTCCTCGGCGATCCCAGTAGTGTTGCGGCTTCGACAATCCTAGTTGTGTCGCTGCCCTCCAATCGCCAGATTACGATTCAATTGCTGGAAGCAAAACCCAGAACCTGGTTCAGTTGCTTGTAGTTATAGCTACTGGTGTATAATTGATGGATTTACTATTTAGTAATTCATTATCTGACTCGTCAATTAAGTTGAGCTAGAATGCCATGTGGAATGGAAAACTGCAATTTGGTACCCGCTGTTAAATTTAGGGACGGAAAATGTAACGATGCAACTAAAAGTTGATTTATGTGGTTTAGTTGCAACAAAAATAATATAAGTGGTCAGTATGCAACAGACTCAATACTTATATGGTATGTGGTGCAATTAACCCCAAGAAAGTACTAGACATAAAACAAACGTTTTGGTCTTGCCTAGCGTCTCATTCGCCTAGGCGTTGTGAGCGTAAATATAACCTTTTAACTCATAGTCGCAAATTAAAATTACAAATTGATGGAAGGAAATCAATGAATAAAGAACGAATAGGTGGTAGTTTGAGATGGTGTTATTTTGGGAAAGACAATTGTCTTTTTTTTTTTTTTTGCCATTTGTCTACTAGTTATGCTTAAGTGTACCTCCAATTGTCTTAACATACCTCACAACACAAACCTTTGATCAAAATTGACAGGAATTTTTCTGATTTTGAGGGTATCATTTTCGGTAAAGCTATATGTTAGAACTTTGATGGTTTGAGGTTAACAAGTTGGGTGGGTCATGGGTCCACCACAGTCCACCCACACCCACCCATAGGAACCACCCACATGATCGGGTGGGTCGATCGCGGATGGATTTAAGTGGATTTGTGGGTTCAACCACCCAATGCTCACCCCTAATCATAGGGATGGTTTGTAGGGGTGGGCATCCGGTTCGGTAAACCCGGACCGAACCGGACCGAAACCGAGCCAACCCGAACCGAAACCGAACATTTGTTATTCGGTTCGGAATTCGGAACTGAAAACCCTATATTTCGGAAACCAGGATCTGTCCAACCGAACCGAGTTTCCGATTCCGAACCGAGCAACCGATCATCCCAACTCTCACACTCATAGCCCACAACCCAAAGCCCAATCTCACACACTCACACCCCAATCCCAAAGCCCACAACCCCAAGGCCCAAGCCCTCCCTCTCTACATTTGTTAGTGGAACCCTAGCCCAGACCAAACCTCACCACTAACCACTCTCAATCCTATCACTCACATGCAGCAATCGCAGCCGCCGGCAGAGAAAGGAGACTAGAGAAGACTTGGCAGATTGGGTGGGATTCTAGGGGATTTAGCTCGTCTCCAACAAAATCACCTCCCATCCCACACCCAATATGCATCCCCTTCAATCCAATCGCGCCGTCGACAGCCACATGCAGGCGACGGGAAGTGGAAGGGTCGCGGTGGGAGAGGACGACCACGGCGGCGGGGGAAGCTGAGCGCGACCACGGCGGCGGAGGGAGCTGAGTGCGACCACGGCGGCGGAGGGAGCGAAGCCTGATTTATCCTTTCGCCGGCGTCGGATCTGACGATTCAGAAGAAAGTTTCTCGAGGAGGCGGCCATGGCGGTGATGCTTCCTCTGGGCTGGGGACTGCGACCAGCGACTGCTTCTGGGCGAAGTTGAACTCTGATGCTGCTGGGGGGTGGGAGAAGGAAGAAGAATGCTTCCTCTGGGCTGGGGACTGCGACCAGCGACTGCTTCTGGGCGAAGTTGAACTCTGATGCTGCTGGGGGGTGGGAGAAGGAAGAAGAGGAGGTGGGAGAGGGAGAAGGAAGATTGGGTTTTGATTTTTTTGGCTGTGGGTCTTCAATGAGAAGATGAAGTAGGGAAAGTAAGGAGAGAAGTCGGGTTCGTCGGTTTTTTAGTTCCGAACCGGAATATATTTCAGTTCGGCCAGACCGAACCGAAATATATTTCGGTTCGGGATCGGTTTCAACTTCGAGTTATATTAGGGTACCGGTATGCTTAGTTCGGTTTGGTTTGAACCGAACCGAACCGATGCCCACCCCTAATGGTTTGCAAATCGACAACGTAGATCTTAGCCATCCATGGGTTACTCTAGTCCAAGGGATGTCATTAAAGAAAGGGTAAATTAGGGAGTTTTTTGGTGCAAATTTTAACAGAAGGGAATGTTTGATCATTTTTACAAAGTATAAGGGCATACTTGATATAAAAAAATAGTAGATGACATGTTTGATAAAACTGCACAGTAGATGGGCATATTATACCTATAATCCTATTTTTTATTCAGTAAACACATTCCGACACCATTCAACACCCAAACGACGTCGGTTGCTGCCTCTTCCTCCTCATCCACCCAACCATCGTGCTCCATCTTGTTCTTCAATCGAATCTGGGTTTTTTTGCGTCAGTAATCAAATCCGGTCCATGAAGCAGATGGAAGGCGCCAGAGCCATTCATGTGTGGATCTCATGTGGAACTTCAGAAGAGAGACGCCAGATCTCTCTCGACGTAACTTGAATCGCGCGACCACCACCTTCACTGAATCTCGCCAGTGACGACGATCGACGCGGGAGAAGAAACGTTTGGATGAATGGGTCGCTTCCTACAAGAGCGAACCATTGGTAAGGTCGCTTGGGCCATAATTGAACGAGTTCGTCGACGGTATCTTTGATTTCCCGGAACCATATGCCCCAGATCTCTTCGTGGAGTGGGGTTGGGCGCTGGAACCTGGAAGTAGAGCTGGAAGTTTGGTACTGGTATTTGAGATATACCGAATACCATACCGAATTTGTCTAAATTTGGTATTACCGAATACACGTATTATTTTTTGGGGTTGTGATTGAGATTGTGATTGAATTTCAATTGTAATTCGGTATTAAGGATTTCGGGATTGAGATCGGTATATACCGAAATATAAGCTAGTGTGTATTTTATCCTCTCAACTAGACTCTCTCGTTCACTGCTACACGACCCTCAACCATCAAGAGTGTCATTTAATTATATCCATAATTTCATCTTTGTTTCACAGCTCAAAAGTCTCCATCCAACTCAATTTTGACTGTCTAATTTAAGTCACTCTCATCTTTCACCTAATAACTTGTAATTTTCATAACACCAAAAAGCAAACACTAGTATTAGTCGTCTCTCAGCCTTCAATTCGTCAAATTAAAAATTACCAACGAAAAGAATTTGAGATGTCACCTCTCCTTCATTCTCCTTATTCATATCCTAGCTCAAGGCAAACTCAAGACTCTTTGCTTACTCTTTTTGCCCTAAATTAAATAATCAAATCTAATTTTTTTATTTAATTATTAATTCCAAATGTAATTAATTTTGTATTCGATAATACCGATTGGGATATCGAAGTAGCGATTGGGAAACGAGAATATTTAGGGATTGAGATTGGGATACCGAAATTATTTAGGGATTGAGATTCATTTTCGGGTATAGTTCGGTATTCGGGATTTTGATATTTGGTATTGAGATACCGATACCATACCGATTTCCACCCCTACCTGGAAGGGATAAAGAAAAAGGACACAATTGTCATTCTACAATTTGCACATAAATTCCTTATTTATATACAAATAAGTGATTGTGTATAAATCCCACGTTTTAAATTACTAGATTTTTAGTCGAGAGATTTGGTCTAAAAATCTCTCATTATAGAAACACCAATCCAAACGGGCCTTGAAAAAGTTTGCGAACTGGTCTAGTTTTGAATGAAGAGTGAGATAAAAAAGAAAGAGCATGATTATTGAAATCAGGGGTGGAAGTTTGGGTTGCGTATTGTGGGTAACTATATGTCTATATCCACAGGTTGTGGGTTGGGTGTGAGTAGTAAAATAATGATTTTTGTGGTTGGTGGTTACCGACTACTCACCGCGATCAACTTACAAAATTTACAATAAGCACACTAATTATATTTGATTACTGAATTAACTTTATATTATAATAGTATGTGAAAACTGAGAGGCTAAATTAAAGTAGCCACCAAAATCAAATACGCACCTAATCAGTTCTATGTGAGAATATTTTAATTTATAAAACACTATAATCGAGAGAGTGGAGAATAATCAATTCATTAAAAGTGGACACCTTTAGTAACTGTTATATATATGTTTTTACTTTTGTGTGAAAGAAAATACAAGATCATATTTAATTGTCATATTCCATCCCCTAGCCGGTGAAATATGAAATCACAGATGACTGACACAAAAGTTGAATACCAAACTCGAAAAGAAAAAATCTCCACGTTGAGTAAGATCGATATACAAAATTGTATCTCCACGAACAAAAAAATTGTATAATCACTAATTCACTATAGTATAGCTACGAACAACAAATACGTTAGTGGTGACCTTAACTTCATGCTTGTCAAGATGGATTTTTGCAGGTAACCACACCCAACCCGCAGTGGGTAGTGGATATCCACAACCCGCACCACTAATCACTGCTGTGTAGGTTGTGGATAACATATTGTAAATTTATAGATGTGCATTCCGACAAAATATGGGGCGAGTAAACACACTCACCCCAATTTCCACCCTAATTAAAATTGCTCAATGTCTCTCGGTTCGATTCAACAATCAGTGAGGAGAAAGACGGAAACGGGTTGACGGGGCGGGAGGGCTGGGTAGGGTTAGGAGGAAGCGGGCCGGGTCGATCGGGAACATTCCCGATCCGATCCGATCCGATCCGAGACTAAAGAGAAGTGGCGTCCCAAAATTATAGAACGCCACCGAGACTGTTGGCTCCAGACTTCTTCCGTTCTTTCTTCCCCTTCTACCCAGCTGCCCTCATTTCCCCTTTCCTCCCTATTTCTCGATTTCTCTTTTTCTTTTACATAAAACACAAGCTTCTGATTCTTCCGCCTTAACGAACAGCGCAAAGAAACAGGGAAAAAAAAAAAAAAAAAGACGCAGAACAACGATACAAAACAAACCCTAGACTTCTCCGAGTTTCAATCTTCTCCCGTAACGACCGTCCTCTCCCCTAGCATTCCCCTAAAAAATGGACGGTCAATCGCCCCGCCCCGACGGAGCAAGTGCTGCTCCGGCGGCGGTGGCGGCGTCGGCGTCCTTGCCTCCAGTTCCGCCTGCCTCGGGGCCGGGGGATGGCGGGCAGGCCGGGCCTCAATCGCAAGGTGGGAACGGAGATGGCGGCAGAGGAGGAGGGACCAGAGACGATGAGCAGGAAACCAAGAAGGAAGAGGAAGAGGAGTTGATAGACAGGGCGCAAAGCTTGATGGACAAGATCACTCCCGTTCCTGACAACCCCAGTCCCGCCGTGCTTCACGCTCTCGCGTCTCTCCTTGAAACTCAGGAATCCCTGTAAAATTTCAGTTCACACCTTACACTCTGTTTTATCCCTCTCATGGCATTTTCTGTTTGGGACGATTTATCCCTCTGTTACATTCTTGGTTGTTTTTTTTTGTGTGTGCTTGTTGGCGCCCGGGGTGGTATAGAGAGTCACTAGCTTGGAATTATTATGGCCGTTACTTGACAGGTCGGAATTTGCTCACCTTTTAGAGCATCGTATGAGCTCCGGAGCGGGGTGCAATTTCAGTTTCTACCGTTAGCTGTGCTCCCCACCTTCTCGCTTCCTGTCATTCTCAACAATTTCTTGTCTGAGTTGGGTAGAGCCCAGAAGTGTGCTCGTGTTTTCTGAATCGTCTTCTTGGCGCCTACTACTAGGATTTGTTTTAGCATTTCGGGAATTTTAGTTAACTTCAGGTTCTGGGGTGTCGAGAAGTATCATTGAAAAGTGCCCATATCATTTCTGATAACCTTGGCTACTGGCTTTAATGGGCGATTTATTCTCTGCTTCTTCACTGTGCTCTGTGTTTCTTAGCTCGGGAAATAAAAATCTGCAAGTTGCATCTGAACCATCTTTGTCGCCTCACTTGTTATAGAGCTGGCAGAGGGTAATGGAACCTAGTTTCACTTGCTGACTGCAACTGGGATAAGGGAATTGTCGAGAACAGATGTGGAGAAGTGGATATCCAATTACCTGGAGCAAATGTCTTAGTTGTTAGAAGCAGACACTGCCGTCAAAAGTCATGTCACGTAGCTTGCTTGATTAGTTTATATGGGAAACCTTGATATCGTGGTTTTATTCTTGAGTCATTGTGCTCAAATGCTTTTCTTTCTCAGATTATAAGCATAAATCAACTGTAACTCAATGTGTTAAGTCAAAATACGATTGCGTTAATCCATCTACTTCCTTTGCTTGAATGTTACTCTGCTTTAACTTGACATGCTATGTTCCGTGCAGATATGTTGAAGAAAATGGCCGTTCAAGTGTTAATACTACTCGTGCTTCCCATAATATTGGACGTCTAGGAAACTTGGTCCGGGTAACTATTTTCGAAGATGTCGTGTTTCACTAGATTCCAAGTATTTTCATTTAATTCATCAAGAAATGGTCAGTATATGCTTGTCTTTTGATGTTCGTCATGGCATATGGCCAACTTATAGTTTTGAGTTGATCAATTTGTTCTCTGAACTTGCTTCAGCTGATATTTTACCATGACTTCTTTTGCAGGAGAATGATGAATTTTTTGAATTGGTGTCTTCTAAGATTCTTGCTGAAACTAGTTATTCAACAGCTGTTCAAGCAGCTGCCGCAAGGCTTATTATGTCCTGCTCGCTGACTTGGAGTGTATGTGCTCTACTTCACAACCCTGGTCCTCTGCATCTACACCTGGTCTTTGGTTCGTCCTTCCATTTTGTGTCACAAATTATTGCTTAATGAACTTCCATTTTGTTACAGTATCCTCATGTTTTTGATGAACCCGTTATTGAGAACGTAAAGGCCTGGGTGATAGACGAGACTGTTAGATTTCCTGGGGAAGATCGCAGTTGTAAGGCCGACACAGTGAAGAGAAAGGCATCAGATTCTGAAATGTTGAAGGCTTATTCTACTGGGCTTCTTGCTGTATGTTTGGCTGGGTATGCTTTTTTTTATGTAACTTTGTGTCTTCTTCCTGCATAACAATTGATGTTGGTTGTCTGACAACTAAATGGCGTCTCTCTGGTTTCTTATCAGTGGTGGTCAGGTAGTTGAAGATGTGCTAACTTCTGGTTTGTCTAGAAAGCTAATGTGCTTTCTTCGAAATCGCATCCTGGGGGAAAGTAGCACAAGCCAGAAGGAAAGTAGCCACTTGATAGAAGGGAAACATTCAACTTCTGCCACGGGCAATAGAGGCAGGGTTCGGCAGGTTCTTGAAGCTACTAATGATAATGTGAAGGTGATAGATGAGAGGTCTCTAGAAGATCAAATTGTTGATAGAAATAATGATAGAAGTGTTGTTACTCAACAATCGAGAGAAGAACTTGGTCATCGTGGAGAATTGCCTAATATACCAGATGAAGGAATCGACGCTTGTGAGGTTGATGTTGATGGCAGGGAGAGGGTGCATGGTAAAGATCCCCATGGCGATGGGAAGGGTAGAGCTGGGGACTTGGATGAGAGTGGAAGAGATGATTCATTGAGGCGAAGGGCAGCCCGTGGGGTATCTAGACCGAGAGGGAAGGGACGAGCAAGTGAAGGGGATCTAGATATCGATCAAGGTTTGACATCTCCAGGTTCTAATAGCCGTCCTGGACTTGTGCGGAATACTAGGGACAGAAGCTTAGTGAAAAGTTTAGATGGGAGAAAGGGATCAGAAGGAAGGAAGTTCTCTGGAAGCATGAATGTTGATGGGTTTGCCTGGGAAAGGGAGGAAAATGATGACTGCTTCAGGGAATGCTGGGTTGGAACAAAAGACATATCTGATTTGGTAAGAAAAGCTGTGCAAGCTGCTGAAGCTGAAGCCAGAGCCGCAAATGCGCCACCGGAAGCCATCAAAGCAGCCGGTGATTCTGCGGCTGAAGTGGTTAAGAGTGCTGCCTTTGAGGTGATAACCATTGTTTTTTTCTCTTGTTTATTTTAAACAAATGATGTCTGGAAAGTTATAACTTCTCTGAAATTCTTGCACAGGAATTTAAATCCAGCAACAGTGATGAAACTGCACTTTTGGCTGCTTCTCGTGCTGCTTCCACTGTGGTTGATGCGGCTACTGCAGTGGAAGTTTCTAGGTAAGTCTTATTATATCTTGTTTTGTTTCTCTCTTTGGACGAAAGGTGTATTAATGCTCTTTACTTGCTTGGTGGCAGGAACACCAGCAGTGCAGCCAATGATTCCGTGGAGCCTGCTAGTATGGAGAGAGATGTAAATGAGGAAACTGAAGAGTATTTCATTCCCGATATTGAGTCCCTTGCCCAGTTGAGGGAAAAGTACTGCATTCAGTGCTTGGAGATATTAGGGGAATATGTTGAAGTTCTTGGGCCTGTCTTGCTTGAGAAGGGTGTAGATGTCTGTCTATCATTGTTGCAACGCTGTTCAAAACATAAGGAGGCATCCAAGGCTACGTCGCTATTGCCTGATGTCATGAAGCTTATATGTGCATTGGCGGCTCACAGGAAGTTTGCTGCCCTGTTTGTTGATAGGGGAGGCATGCAAAAACTGCTTGCCGTGCCACGAGTTGAGCACACCTACTTTGGTCTTTCTTCGTGCTTATTTACCATAGGTTCTCTTCAGGTAACTGGATCTGTCTTCTGCTCCAGTTTATTGGGTGAATTAAATTGGGGTTCCCCTGCCCTTTGTGTGGGGCTCAGACAGAATATACAATAGAGATACGATCCAAATTCTCGTCTTGGGAATTAGGGTTAATACTAATTTTCTAGAATTTGTGTTGCAGGTAATAATGGAACGTGTCTGTGCTCTTCCATCAGATGTTGTCTACCAGGTGGTTGAATTAGCTATTCAACTTCTGGAGTGCTCTCAAGAACAGGCCAGGAAAAATGCAGCCTTGTTTTTTGGTGCTGCCTTTGTATTTAGAGCTGTGATCGATGCGTTTGATGCTCAGGATGGCTTGCAGAAGTCACTTGGCCTTTTAAATGAAGCTGCTTCAGTTAGATCTGGTGGCAATTCAGGTTCACTCAACCTGTCTGGTTCTGCTGGCCTTCGATCCCCAGCGGAAGTCCTAACATCATCTGAGAAGCAGATAGCTTATCACACTTGTGTTGCATTACGACAATATTTCAGAGCACATTTTCTTATGCTGGTGGATTCAGTTCGCCCTAATAAAAACAACCGTATTTTGGGTAGGAACCTACCGAGTGCCAGGGCAGCATACAAGCCTCTTGACTTGAGTAATGAGGCTATGGATGCTGTCTTTTTGCAATTACAGAAGGATCGCAAGTTGGGACCTGCATTTGCAAGAGCTCGTTTTCCTGCCGTCGACAAGTTCCTAGGATTTAATGGGCATATTACTATGTTGGAATTGTGTCAGGTTTGACATCATGATTCTTTACATTATTATTTTCCGTTTTGAACTGCAAGCTTCAGTTTTTTTGTCTAATCACCTAATTATTGCAGGCTCCGCCGGTTGAGCGATATTTGCATGACTTGCTTCAGTATGCTTTGGGTGTCCTTCACATTGTGACGTTGGTCAATGATGGCCGCAAGATGATAGTAAATGCTACCTTAAGCAATAACCGGGTTGGCATAGCTGTTATTCTGGATGCAGCTAATATTGCTGGTAATTATGTGGATCCTGAGGTATTCATATCCCTGACCGTAATCATCATCTTCAGTTGGTATTGTTAATTGGCTTTGTTTTGTTGATGTTAGAGATAGTATAGCTAGTAGTGAACTGCTAACTAAATTGTTTGTTTACAGATTATACAACCAGCGCTGAATGTGCTGATAAACCTTGTTTGTCCACCTCCTTCAATTAGCAATAAACCCTCAAATATCGACCGCAATGTTCCAGATAGATCTCTTAACATCCCCAGCCAGGGTGATCAAAGAGAGCGGAATGGTGAGTCGAGCGCAGCTGATCGAGCAGGCCGCTCCATTGGAAGTGCTATGCAAGCATCTGTTCCTACGACAGCATCTGGACTGGTTGGCGATAGAAGGATATCTTTAGGCTCTGGAGCAGGTTGTGCAGGCCTCGCTGCGCAGATGGAGCAGGGGTATCGTCTGGCTAGAGAGGCTGTACGTGCCAACAATGGTATCAAGGTGCTTCTTCATCTCCTCCAGCCACGTATATATACTCCTCCTGCCGCCCTTGATTGTATCCGTGCCCTTGTTTGCCGGGTAATGCTTGGCTTAGCAAGAGATGATACAATTGCACACATATTGACCAAACTCCAGGTAATGCTGCACGTTTTTAGTTGTGAAGTTGCTTGGATTTATGCATATTAGAATAGATGGCAAATGCTACTTACATGGACGGACTTGTGGACATGAGTTGTTATCTGAGACTTCTTTGGCTTGTGGGGTTGTAAGTTGTAACTGTTATATGCTCTCAATGTGTGATAGCAGAATAGGAAAAAAAGATCAATTTGCCTACGGATACGTTTGTTGTTTACTAGGATGAGTACAGTACCAGAGCCAGAGACCTGGTGGATTTTCAAAGCTAAGTGTTTGTCTTTTCATTTCAGGTTGGTAAAAAGCTATCGGAATTAATTCGAGATTCAGGTGGGCATCCTGGAAATGAACAAAGCAGGTGGCAAGCTGAATTGGCCCAAGTGGCAATTGAGCTAATTGGGGTAACCTGCTCCAACTCTTTACTGAAATCGTTCTATACTAGTGTAACATTCTTATTTTTTGTAGCAACACCATGCATTTTACTTTTCTTCCAAGATCCATTCATTTATTTTGTGTTAAACCTAACTTCCTGGTATTTAAAGATTGATATATACCCCTTAAACATGTTGCAGATTGTAACAAATTCTGGCCGTGCAAGCACACTAGCTGCTACTGATGCTGCCACTCCTACTTTGAGGCGCATAGAAAGAGCTGCAATAGCTGCAGCTACTCCTATCACTTACCACTCCAGGTTATTGTAGCATCTTTTGCTGCAGCGTGGATATAAAATTTCTTCTGCTCTTTTTTTGGAAGAAAAAATTTCTTTCATTTTGTCGAAGCTCACTCTTTTGTTTTTTCTGTTCTTGTCTGGGCCACACCCAAAACTAGGGAACTGTTGCTCCTCATTCATGAACATCTACAGGCATCTGGTTTGGCCACAGCTGCTGCTACGCTATTGAAAGAAGCTCAGTTGACACCTTTGCTATCCTTGGCAGCTCCGTCATCTCTCACATTGCAAGCCCCTATCCAAGACACTCCTTTCCTACATTTTGAGTGGCCGTCGGGACGAGCACCCAGTGGGTTTTTGTCTGAAAATTTGAAACCTACTGTGTGGAATGAAGATTGCAGCATGAAATGTGAATCATCGTCCATGTCTTCTAAAAAGAAGCAGCTTCTGTTTTCACCATCCTTTGGATCCCAATTCAGAAATCAACCCGAAGCTGTGGATTCTAATCAACCATCAACCAAGAAGTCATTCATCTCTTTAAAGCAACATCCTGTACATACAGAGATGGTGGAAAAAGAAGCCTTATCTGAATCTTTGCCGGAGAGCAACATTGACAAAGATTCTGTCTTCAAGACTCCGATTCTTCTCCCGATGAAACGTAAGTCATCAGATGTAAAGGATCTCCCACTGCCTTCATCATCGAAGCGGCTAAACACTGGTGACTATGGTCTTCTTCGTTCGCCAGTTTGCTCAACTCCAAATACCGGTCTCAAGTTCAGCTCGGTTGGTGATTCTGGCTTATCTATTACGCCTTTCTCTAATTTGAGGGACTCGCATGCTAGGTCAATACCATTCAGTGCTATGGATTGCTTAGATGACGGTCAAAATGCTACATTGGGTCAACCTGAGCGGTTAACCCTGGACTCAATTATTGTTCAGTATCTGAAGCATCAACATCGGCAGTGCCCAGCTCCTATAACAACTCTTCCACCACTCTCTTTGCTTCACCCCCATGTCTGCCCGGAACCCAAAAGATGCCTCGACGCACCATCAAACGTTACAGCTAGGATTGGCACGCGTGAGTTCAGAAGTATATATGGCGGGGTCCATGGAAATCGCAAAGACAGGCAATTTGTGTACAGCAGGTTCAGACCGTGGAGAACTTGCAGGGACGATGCCGGTGCCCTCCTAACCTGTACCGCATTCGTAGGCGACTCTTCCCACATTGTGGTTGGTACTCATACAGGGGAGTTTAAAATCTTCGACTGCAACAGCAGCAATGTGGTGGAGAGCTCTGCCGTCCATCAGGCTCCTTTGAATCTTGTTCAATCGCACCGCTCCGGCGGGACTCAGCTGATACTGTCTTCAACTCCTCAGGATGTCTCTCTCTGGGATGCTTCTTCCATCTCCACGGGTCCCATGCATACCTTGGAAGGGGTCAAAGCCGCAAGGTTCAGCAATTCTGGTAGCATATTTGCAGCCTTGTCGACTGACGCCACTCGAAGAGAGATTCTGCTGTACGATGTCCAAACCTGTTTACTGGATTCCACCCTGTCAGATACGAATTCGAGTACTACAGGCAGAGGCCATGTGTATTCACATGTACACTTCAGCCCTTCAGATTCAATGCTCCTCTGGAACGGTGTCTTGTGGGATCGCCGGCAATCTGGTCCTGTTCATCGCTTCGATCAGTTCACTGATTATGGTGGTGGCGGTTTCCATCCTGCGGGCAATGAGGTATGTTCTATGGTTCAGCCTTTTCTTATTTCAAGTCTGTTCTGTGTTATAAACTTGATGGTTGACAACTTGACATTGTGACAGGTGATTATAAACTCAGAGGTATGGGATCTGAGGAAGTTCCGGCTTCTACGGAGCGTACCGTCATTGGACCAAACAACTATAAGCTTCAACGCACGAGGAGATGTGATTTATGCAATCCTGAGGAGAAACCTGGACGACGTGATGTCTGCTGTCCACACCCGCCGTGTGAAGCACCCATTGTTTGCCGCTTTCCGGACTTTGGATGCGGTCAATTACTCGGAGATAGCCACTGTGCCGGTGGATCGTTGCGTTCTCGATTTTGCATCGGACCCGACGGACTCGTTCGTTGGGTTGATCACCATGGATGATCAGGAGGAGATGTTCTCATCGGCTCGGGTTTATGAGATTGGCCGGAGGAGGCCGACAGATGACGACTCCGATCCTGATGATGCCGAAAGCGAGGAAGACGAGGACGATGATGAGGATGATGATGATGAGGATGGAGACATGGACCCCATTCTAGGGTCCGGCCTGGGTGGCGATGGGGACAGTGATGCGGATGACTTGTCGAACGACGACGACGATGACAGCGCGAGTGACCCGGACGATGATGAGGACGATGGTGACTTCATGATCGGTGATGTGGACTTTGATGGAGGGGGTGGGATTCTGGAGATTTTGACGGAAGGCGAGGAGGACGACGACGACGACAGCCAGGTATTTGAATCGTTCAGTAGCGGGGAAGAGGACTATTTGGGGAATGGGTTCCTCTGAGGCGGGAAAATGACATTAGGATGTATGTAAATTAATGTAAAATTTGATTTTATGGGTGACCTTTTTTTGGGTTTAGGGGAGGGAAGAGAGGTGCAGTTTTGAAGTCTTTGTGTGGAAATGTATGAACTGTTTCTGTTGGTTTCCTCAACGGAACGGAACGGATAGGATAGGATGAAAATTCTTTTGATTAATAATGCAAGAGCTGGCGTGATACACGAAATTAGGTACTGCTACTGCTAATGACATGATTGAGATGGAGGATTAAATATGCCAGTGTGAGGGGGGCATGATTGAACATCGATGAAGGTAGACTTGTTGTTAATTAATACTAGCTTTATCCCCGACCAGTCGGTCGGGAGAGTTTCGATTTATCATTTTTAACGAAAGTGTTTGCATATATTGCAACAATTTCAACACTTCTTGCAACACTTTTCACGTGTTGCCAAAAGACCAAAATGTTTGAAGTAGTAGTGCTTAAAGAGGATGGCATCCCCTTCCCCTATCACTTTTAAAAAACCATACAATTCAAAACAAGCAACCTTAAAAAAAGAATGGCGCCAGAGATCAACACTACTCCTATTGCTCCAAAGAAGAAGCTCCACATCGCAGTGTTTCCATGGCTGGCCTTCGGTCACATGATCCCATTCCACCACCTCGCCAACCTCCTCGCCGCACAGGGCCACCACATCTCCTTCCTCTCCACACCTCGAAACATCCACCGCCTACCCAAAACCCCTCCCAAACTCTCACATTCTTTCAATTTCGTCCCTCTCCACCTCCCCCAAATCCCCGGCCTCCCTCCGGCGGCCGAATCCACCGCCGACCTCCCTCCCGGCCTCGTCCCCTACCTCAAGCTCGCCCACGACGGGCTCGAGCCGGCCGTGACCCGGTTCCTCGACACCCACCGACCCGACTGGATCATTTACGATTTCGCCCCTCACTGGCTCCCACCGGCGGCGGCGAAAGCCGGAACCTCCAGGGCGCTCTTCTCCGTCATGTGGGCCGCCACTTTCTGTTAGAAACGGAACAACAACAAGATGAGGATACCGAATCTGGAGCTGAGTCGCGGACTAGGTCGCTTTCTTTAAGACGTTCGCGGCATTGCCCTCGATGCGCACGGCAGACTATCAACCGGTCGTCTCCAGGATAAAACAGCTCCTCTGTGTACTCGCGGTTTTGTGCGAAAACCGGAGCTCTCTGAACACTCTCTCTATTGTGTTTATGCTCGTTGTAGTGTGTTTAGAGGGGCTGGGGAGGCGGCTATTTATAGGAGCCGAACCCCTAGGAATATACCCTCTAGCTTGGGGAATAAGTCGGGATTAATTAAGGAAGATAATTACTTCCTTAATTAAAACCGTCGGTTAGGATAAATCCTGCTGGGATTATCCTTCGAATATTCCTTTTCAATCGATTATCCCTCAGAATAACCGATTAATAATTAATTATTAAATAATTAATTTCGTTCGGAATTTCTCTAAAAAATATGTATATAGTCTCAAGTGATCCAACCAACCAACCAACCGACCGGCCGGTCGGACGGACGGACGGCGCGCGCGTGTGTGGTGGTCCGTTAGGTCCTCCCTCTCCCACAAAAGTGGGTCACCCCAAGGGCATGCCCTTAAGAGAGAGGCTCCTATCTTTATAATCACTTCACCAAGTAAAACTACCAATGTGGTAGTTTTTCCACTTGAGACTCTATAGCTTTCAAAGCTATTCATACACATTTCCAACAATCCCCCACTTGAATAGTTTTGAAACTATCTCTGAGCATCAACAGTTCCATAAGATCGGGCATAAGCTAAGGTATCGCGAAGATTTGAACCTTAGCGTAGTGGTTACACTTCCGATTTCATAAGGGTGACTCGTAGTCTTGAACCCTATCTCAGACAGTGTAGCACACCGGATCTTTTCATTGAGTTGTGTTCTCTTCTTAGCCCGTGCGTTTATGGCCTTGCACGTTACCCTGGTTTAGTGAACGCTCTAGCAACTTTGTGCCTCTCAAAGTTCCATAGGGAGCGGCCCCACTCCCACATTCACATAGGTGAGTCTATCAGGAGTACCCCCAAAGTAAAGTACTCCACCCCACATAGGGTATAGATCTCATTAAGAGTTATTAACTCAACCTCCATTGCTTTGGGATTCATGCTTCATTATGCATGAACTTTTCGCATACTACTCATGACTTGTTATTACCCATTGAACCCATTTCTTGGGATCTCCAGTCTATTGGGTCGGGTTACCATCACTTGTAGTCCGTGGTTCGGTAGGCATAAGTCCCATACCCTTGGCGGTATTCTGGACTTTCTCTCTAGGTAATCCTTTCGTCAAAGGATCAGCTAGATTCTGTTCGGATCTTATATGATCCACCCTCACTGCTCCTATCGTTAGGAGTTCTCTAACAGTACTGTGCTTACGACGAATCTGTCGTTTCTTTCCGTTATAGAACCGGTTCTCGACTTTAGCGATAGCTGCGGTACTATCACAATGTATCAATACCGGAGGGACCGTGCTTTCCCATAAGGGAATCTCTGACAACAATCCTCTCAACCAACTTGCTTCTTCACTAGCCGTTGCTAGTGCTATCATCTCTGATTCCATAGTTGATTGAGCTAGGATTGTTTGTTTCTTTGACTTCCAAGACACAGCTCCACCAGCGATGTTAAAAACATATCCGCTGGTTGCCTTGGAGTCATCTGATAGGGTATTCCAATCCGCATCACTATACCCTTCTAGTACAGCGGGAAACCTTTGATAGTGTATACCAAGGTTTGCTGTTCTCTTGAGGTATCTCACGACCCTCTCTATAGCATTCCAATGCTCTCTACTAGGACAGCTGTTAAACCTGCCAAGCAACCCCACGACATATGCAATGTCTGGTCGAGTGTAATCCGCAGCATAACGGAGACTGCCAATGATGCTAGCATATTCTGTTTGTCTTACACTGTCTCCAGTGTTCTTGAATAGCTTTACACTAGCATCATACGGAGTACACGCAGGTTTACAGTCGAAATAGTTATACTTCTTCAAGATCTTCTCTATGTAACTAGATTGATCTAGAGAATAACCATTTGCTGTTCTAGTTATCTGGATTCCAAGCATAAACTTTGCTTCTCCCAGATCTTTCACCTCAAAGCTCTCTTTTAACATGGCTTTCGCTTCATTGACCACGTGAATATTTGTACCAAATATCAACATGTCATCTACATACAAACATATGATAGTGCAAGTGTTATTCTCTGACTTGCCGTAAATACACTTGTCACTTTCATTCACCTTAAAGCCATGTGAGAGAACGAGAGTGTCAAACTTCTCATGCCACTGTTTTGGAGCCTGTTTCAAACCATATAATGATTTGTCCAACTTACAGACTTTCGAGGCATGTTCAGGGATAACAAACCCTTCTGGTTGTTCCATATAGATTTCTTCATCTAGATCACCGTTCAAAAAAGCAGTCTTAACATCCATTTGGTGTACCACGAGATTGTTCAAGGCAGCAAGAGCAATCATGACACGAATGGATGTTATTCTAGATACTGGTGAATAGGTGTCGAAGAAATCTATATTCTCTCTCTGCCTGTAGCCCTTGACTACTAGGCGAGCTCGGAACCTTTCGATTGCACCATCAGGTTTCCGTTTCGTTTTTAGAACCCATTTATTACCTAAGACTTTGCAGCCAGGAGGTAAGTCTGTTAGATGCCAAGTCTTATTAGCCTCTAACGATTCCATTTCATCTATAACGGCCTCATTCCAAAAGTCTGCATCTATGGAAGTTAGTGCTTCCTGCAAACTTTTTGGATCCTCTAGGGTGTATACTGTAGTAAAGTCATCACCAAAATCTTTAGAGATTCTAGCTCTTTTACTTCTTCTGAGTTCATCCTCAGATCCAACACCCCCACTAGTTCCGTTATCTATAATAGCGGGTAGTACATTACCCCCACTATTTCTCGTTTTAAATGGAAATCGTGTCTCAAAGAAATCAGCATCAATGGATTCTATTACAGTACGAGCATTCAAATCATAGAATCTATATGCCTTACTATTGGCCGCATAGCCAACGAAGACACATTCATATGCTCGACTAGCCAACTTAACCCTCTTAGGATCAGGAATTCTTACGTAGGCCAAACAGCCCCACGTTCTTAAATAGGACAGATTAGGTGGCTTATTCTTCAAGATCTCATAGGGTGATTCTTTTCTATTTGTTTTTGGAAGACGATTTAGCACATAGCAAACCGTCAACAAAATATCACCCCACCAAGAAGAAGCAGCTCCAGAATTGAGCATAATAGCCACAACTAATTCTGTAAATGTCCTATTTTTCCGCTCAGCTTTACCATTCATTTCTGGTGAATATGGTGCCGTGGTTTCATGAATGATACCATGTGAGCTATAGAATTCCTTGAAGAGATTAGAGTCATACTCTGATCCTCTATCGCTCCTAAGTCTTTTTATCTTTCGATTGCACTGATTTTCGAATTCAACCACAAATACCTTGAACATGTCAAGGGCTTCACTTTTGTTTTTCATCAAATAAACAAAGCAATAATCAGAGCAATCATCTATGAAAGTGATAAAGTATCTCTTGCCAGACCTAGTTAACGTCCCATCTAGTTCACAAATATCAGAATGAATCAGATCTAAGGGTTCTGATTCTCTACTCACAGGTTTATGAGGCGTTTTCGTTATTTTAGCTTGGCTACAGAAATCACATTTATCAAATTCATTCATTGAGAGTTTAGGGATATGCCCTAGCTTGCTTAAATTCTTCACAATTCGTGTGTTCACATGACAAAGACGAGCATGCCAAACATTCAAATCACACACCATGTAAACTGAAGAATTCATCTTATTAATTTCGACATTCAACTTGAACATCCCATTACATGCATATCCCTTTCCCACAAAACTCCCATTCTTAGTAAGGGTATACAAGTCTGCCCCAATAGATTGATTAAACCCAGCCTTATTAAGAAGATATCCCGAAACAAGATTCTTCCTTATCTCTGGAGTGTGCAACACATCCTTGAGCACCATCTTCTTCCCAGAGGTGAAGTTCAGCTCCACTTCACCAGAACCAGCAACCATAGTGGTGTGAGTAGTTCCCAACAACACTTTCTTGTCAGCAGGTGCTTCTTCGTATGTTTTAAACATAGCACGATTGTTGCATACATGCTTCGATGCACCTGTATCCAGCCACCACCCTTCTGAGTCACCGGTGAGGTTAACTTCAGCGATCATATCTGTGATCATGGCTACCAAATCCTCTTCTGTCAAGTTAACCCTGGCCGCAGCGGCGGGGTTATGCTTGTTCCTGCACTTTTTTGCCATATGACCCGGTTTTCCACAGTTAAAGCAGATAAACAGTGGGTCATTCTTAGAGGTTTGGGCCATGACCCTTTGGTTACCTCGAGAGGCACCATTCTGGTGGGGTCGGACCTGCTGGTTCTTACCCTTAAACCCTTTCTGGTTAGGTTTAAGAGCTCTAGGGGTGGGTCGTTTAGCAGTGACGACCATCACCTCTTCTTTCATATCCTGCTTGCGGGACTCTTCCTCAATCCTTAGGCGAGTAATCAAACTTTCCAGTGAAAATTCTTTGGTTTTATGTCTAAGCATATTCTTAAAATCTTTCCACGAAGGGGGCAGCTTATCAATAATGCAAGCAACTTGAAATTGATCGTCCAGAGGCATACCTTCGGAGACGATCTCGTGAGCTATTTTCTGAAGTTCGTGGGACTGAACTTCGACAGACTTGTCATCCACCATCTGATAGCGCAGGTAGCGGCTGACAGCATACTTCTTAGCTCCGGCCTCCTCCGTGTCGTACTTCTTTTGGAGCGCATCCCAGACCATCATTGCGGTGTTCTTGCTATCCGCATAGTAGTCGTAGAGGTCGTCTGCCAGCCCGTTGAGGATGTAGCCCTTGCATAGGAAGTCATGCTCCCTTTCCTTAGCAGCAGCAGTCCTCTCCTCATCGGTCGCTTCTTCCGGCAGCTCGACGGGCATGCTGGTGAGGCAGTGTGCCAACTTCTTGGTCGTCAGGTAGAACTCCATCTTTTGTCTCCAGCGACGGAAGTTGACTCCAACGAAGCGAAACGGTCGATTGATATCGACAGCACCAGATCCGGCCATGTTGTTCTGTTCAGTCGACATAGCAGCAGCCGAGCGTCTTAAAATTGTTAGAAACGGAACAACAACAAGATGAGGATACCGAATCTGGAGCTGAGTCGCGGACTAGGTCGCTTTCTTTAAGACGTTCGCGGCACTGCCCTCGATGCGCACGACAGACTATCAACCGGTCGTCTCCAGGATAAAACAGCTCCTCTGTGTACTCGCGGTTTTGTGCGAAAACCGGAGCTCTCTGAACACTCTCTCTATTGTGTTTATGCTCGTTGTAGTGTGTTTAGAGGGGCTGGGGAGGCGGCTATTTATAGGAGCCGAACCCCTAGGAATATACCCTCTAGCTTGGGGAATAAGTCGGATTAATTAAGGAAGATAATATCCTTCGAATATTCCTTTTCAATCGATTATCCCTCAGAATAACCGATTAATAATTAATTATTAAATAATTAATTTCGTTCGGAATTTCTCTAAAAAATATGTATATAGTCTCAAGTGATCCGACCGACCGGCCGGTCGGACGGACGGACGGCGCGCGTGTGTGGTGGTCCGTTAGGTCCTCCCTCTCCCACAAAAGTGGGTCACCCCAAGGGCATGCCCTTAAGAGAGAGGCTCCTATCTTTATAATCACTTCACCAAGTAAAACTACCAATGTGGTAGTTTTTCCACTTGAAACTCTATAGCTTTCAAAGCTATTCATACACATTTCCAACACTTTCTGCTTCCTCGCGCCCGGATCCGCCGCCGCCGCGGCGGCGGAAGCTCCCAGAACGAGGCCGTAGGACTTCACCGTTCCCCCGAAGTGGGTCCCGTTCCCGTCGAGCGTGGCGTACCGGCTCCACGAGGCGCGGCGGTTTTTCGAGCCGCCGCCGGAGGGAGTGGCCGTGCCGGTGGTGGTCGGTGATCTGGAGCGCGGCGAGGCGGCGTTGAATGGGTGCGATGTGCTGGCGCTGCGCACGTGCCCGGAGCTGGAGCGCGATTGGCTGGATCTGACGGGCCAGCTGTACGGGAAGCCGGTTGTCCCGGCGGGGCTCCTGATTCCCTCCGAACCCGAACCCGAACCCGAACCGGAGGGTCCGTGGGTGGCGGCGAGGGAGTGGCTCGGGAAGCAGAGGTTCGGGAGCGTTGTGTACGTGGCGTTCGGGAGCGAGGTGAGTTTGACGAAGTATGAAATGACGGAACTGGCCCTTGGTCTGGAACTTGCAGGGTTTCCTTTTCTCTGGGTTCTCAGAAAGGTATCTATCTATCTAATCTATCTGTGGTCATCATATAATATAATAAATTAATTAGTAAAATCATCGATGAGATTAGTATAAAAAATCATTGATGCAGCAGGGTAAGGCGGGAAGCTCAGCGGAAGAAGAAGACGGCGAGCTGCTGCCGGAGGGATTCGAGGACAGAATCCAGGCGAAGGGAATTGGGCTCGTACACACGGGCTGGGCCCCGCAGGTGCAAATCCTGGCCCACGGATCCGTAGGCGGGTTCCTGACCCACTGCGGATGGGGCTCCGTAGTGGAAGCGCTCCGGTTCGGCCGGCCGCTGATCATGCTGCCGATCCAAGTCGTCGATCAGGGCCTGATCGCCCGGACGTTCGCCGAGAGAGGCGCCGGAGTCGAGGTCGCGAGGGACGAGGAAGACGGGTACTATTCCGGAAGTTCCGTCGCCGAATCTGTGCGGGCGGTGATGGGGGAGGAATCCGGGAGGCGGTACCGGGACAAAGCGGAGGAGATGAGGGCGGCGGTGTTCGGAAATACGGGGGTTCAGGATCGCTGCTTCCGTGGGTTCGTTGAGTTTCTGGAAAATTATAGCCGAAATAATAATGTATGACGTTGGAGTGTACGTACTTGAACTTGGGATTGTCGTGATCGATTAATTAATATTGTTCTACTCTACTCTACTCTACTCTTCGAGTTTTCGCATCTCCCTTTTCCATCCTTCACTCTCTTTCAGGTTACGGATTGATCATGAAAAATTGAAAATTAATTAAATGATATTTCAAAAGCATAAAATGAAGGAACGGGTTGTAGAGAAAAATGTATAAAAGGTTTTTATTTTAATTATAGATCTTTTTGTTTTTTATTAACGGTAGAGTTCATAATCAAATAATATATTCTATAAAGATACGAAATTGTTATGTAAAAATATAAACGTTTCTTTTTTTTTTTTTGTTTTGAAAATGTTAAACATCTTTTATATTATTTTATTCCTTCTAATCTCTTCTCTCTCCCAGCGGTTTGCAGCAATACTAAAAATAAGGAGATAAAATATTATAGAGGTAGGAAACTGTTATGTAAAAATATAAACTTTATCTAAAAATATAAACGTTTTTTTTTAAAATGTTAAACATCTTTTATATTATTTTATATTAAAATATTATGTTAGTTAAGTATTACTTAGTAGATGTATCGGAGTTAGAAACTAATGATTTGAAAAATATTATACTCTATCATATTGATTAATAGATGTTTTAGGATCTTACGATTTGAGTCGTATTAAGAATGATTGTTTTTTTGTTGAATTAATGATATAGTAGGCCTGTTTAGTGTTATAATTGAAAATTTAAATGTAAAGTTTTGGGTATAATGATGTTGGATGTACAAGGTGGGTATTATTACCCATGGGTATCGAAACCCACCGGTATGGGGATGGATTTGCAAAACCATCCCCGCATGGGGTATGAGGCAAGTACGGGTTTGGATAATTAAAAGCGGGGATGAGAATAATTTAGGCAAACCCGCCTCATTGCTATCTATGTTTGCTGCATAAAATTAATTAAACTTGCTTTTGTGTTTTAAATTTCATTTATAAAAGATAAATAAATGCACTCATATCCATGATCCATGGAACCGTACCGGAAAAGTCAACGGTGGGTCTTTTATGGCAAAATCGTGGTTTAACCATAGTTCAATCGTTAAATACTGTCTATCCATTTAACCTCCGATACTGGTATTTTGTGGTTGAACCGCCAATACATACGGTTTCATGGACCATGCTCATATCCTTAGGGATGAAAAATAGATAGGGGTGGGTATCTCACTTTCCCCACATCAAGCTTGGGTCAAGTCGCGTAATACCCGCACTGTCAAAATTAGTGACTCATGCCCCACCCTAAGCTACTGCGGGTCGGGTAATACCCACTCTAGTGCGGGTCAGGTCGGGTACACTAAATTTGTTGTAGTCTTTTGAACACAAAACATAGACGAGGTTAAACTTTAAAAACCGGAGGACTTTTCAATTATGATTAACTAGTCCACTGAGTCTCCTGTAAATATTTTTATGGTGCTTGATATATCAATTTTCATAGTAGAGTTTAATGTAACTTTTTCCATTTTAAAATTTATACTCTCTCCTAAATTTTTGCTAAAGGTAAATTGGTAATTGGCTAACGTGGTAGAAACTATTTTTTTTTACTGCGCGTTGTATTCTTGCATTTTTTTAATTTAAAATTTTTTTGCGCTTTTTTATCTTTGTTCTTATCCCTTCCTAAGTTCTTCTGAAATTCCCTCCATAGTGCAATAGTTTGCTCCTTTTCACTTCCCATTACAAGGTAAGGGTGTTCAAACGGAGTCGTAACCGTTTTAACCAGTAGTATTTGGATAATTTGGTTTGGTTAGTTTGGATAATTGTTTTGGTTTGATTAAACATTTTAGCTTGTTTGGTTTGGTTTTAGACACTCCTAACCAGCCAGACCAAATTAACCAGTTAAGTAATTAGCCATATATCTAATATATTCTATTATATATACATGCTTAATAATTTGCATAACCACTCAAGAGTCAAATGTTCCTCCCTTTAAGACTCATGAAAACTAAAGCTCGATATTGTTCATATACTGTATATTTGTATTTGTAGAGTGTAGATCACAACATATGGACGCCTAATTTAGATAAAAATCATATATACTATGTATTGATTTTTAGGTTTTATTTATTATATAAATTGCAAATTGATACATTAACCGAAAAATTTTACCACTTAATGATAATGTGATGTTATATTGGTTAATCTGGTTAACCAATTAACCAAATCTAGTTTGGTTAATTTGGTTGTTGTATTAGTTTGGACGGTTTGGTTATGATATTGTATTTCATGGTTAATATAGTTTAAGCTTATTTGATTAGGTAATTACCATAGTAACCATTTGAAAACCCCTAGTACAAGGCCATCTATGAAAATCAATCTTTTGGTATCTCTTAGCACTATGGTTTAATTGTTGAGGATTGAAGTTGGGCAAGTAGAAGATTTCAACTCCGATATAAGTCCATGGCGAATAGAATGGAGTTCAATCAAGTAGTTAGGGTCTGGCCTATCTCGCTCGATTCCTCCGTAATGGCATTGCCAATGGTTCTATCTCTCCTATCGATGAACTAATAGAAGAACTATTTTGCTGCTTCTATTGTCGAAGATGATGTTTGATCAGTTATATCTTCCTCTCCTTTACTCCTCTTCCTATACCAGACTTTGAACTTGAATGAGTTTTGGTCTTCGTCCAAGGTTAATAGCTTCACATTGTCTCATGGTTTTATATTTCTGATTAATAACAGAACGACTTTTATTTTCAGGTTGCCTCATGAGCAGAACATGCAGACGATCTATTTCTTTTTATCCTATTGCCTAATATGATGTTTGAACTGGTAGTCTATTATTTCTTTTCCAATTTATCTAAGTTTGTTGTTTGTCATTGATTTATAAAATATAGGAAAGGAATTAGAACGGTGATTTGGGTGGTAGATTTGTTTGGAATCAAACGAGATGTTTGTGTAGAACAAGGGCATTTGTACTTTCCTAGCGCCCTGTCTACTTTCTTGGTTGTTTCTTTGTTGCATTTTTTTATTCTTTGCTTAACTATTGTAATAATAAAATAAGATCACCATTAATTATAAAAAGATCTTGTTCAATTACAATATTTCTGCTCAGGTTTGATTTTGCCATCGCTTATGTTCTTTGCAAGCATTATGTTCTCCATCAATCTCGATTCTTTTGGTGCAGCTCACATCATATTTTGAAATTGTTTTAGGATTAGTTACACACTGTTGATTTTGTCAATGTTGTTAATGTCCATTAATATAATTGCAAGCCATAATTATTGCTAAAATTAAGCCTCCACGGCCCACGCAACAATACTTTGGGAGTTGGGGTGTTGAACTTTGAGTAGAAGAGTATTAGGTTTAGGAAGGGAAGTGGTAGGGGAAGAAATTGTGTTTGAATTTGGTAGCAAGGAAGAGAAGAGGGAGTTGGTGAGGGTACTGATCGAATTGAGGAGGGCATTGAAAGACATGGAAGCAAAATTGGAGTAGTTGAAGAGAGAGACGTGAGAGATGATGAAGATATTAATGAAAATGGAGATGAGCATATTGATGAAATTGAAGATGAGAGTTGGTTTTACTGAGCTTATTACAACAGCCTCTAAGAAAGACGAGTTGTCCAAATACAAGAAGAGGATTGAGGAGTTTAAGAGCAAGTTGACAAGAACCTCAATTGGAAGAGAAATTGACAACCACATAAAGAAGGTTGATCAAAGTAGCAAAAATAGAGTTGTAGGAGGAGGATTAGAAAGTGAATTTTGTGTTGAATCAGATGGCTCTTGAGATTGAAGATAAAGGGAATAAAAGGTTGGTTGTACAACGGAGAGTGGTGGCTACTGGATCTTTAGGTTTATGGTTGTTGCAACTGCCACAACCTATGTCTACATATCTTAAAATGAGGAATCGTTCATTGATTTACGAAAGTTAAGGTCGATTGTCTATTCAAGCTACTGGAACTAGTAGACAAGGAGTGTCTAATTTTGTGTCTTATTACTTTGATCGAGTCTATTAGTATATTAGATGCAACCTTAATTTTGTCATTTGCTCTCAAGTTTTGATAGTTCCCTTTAAGTTGAGTTGTTAGTATATGGTTGACTTGAATCAACAACTTTTTTTATTAGTGGCATGTTGTTCCTAAAAGGAGAGCATTGAACCCTTTATGTAGGATTGTGAGGTTTTAGATTTAGTTTTCAATTATCTATGGGTCGTGTGGGAATTCCAATAAACTTTTATACTCTATCTTTCTTGACAATCAATTAACCAATAAAATTTTAACGGGGGCTTAGTTATCATTATAAAATGAAATTAAGGATACATTTTTATATATTTTATATTGTTAAATGATGATGGTATTTCTTCAAATGTTCGACCTATACATTCATTTTTTATGTACCATCTTGATTGATGGATTGTCAATAAATTTAAACGGAATGATAAAATTAAACATAGCACAAAAATATAAATACTCAAATATGAACATTTCGGTCAAATGGCCGGGTTATAAGCTAGTACTCGTCTAAGGTAATGGAACTTTCAAGTCCGGGTTTGACCCTTAAAGTTTGTGGGGGCCCACGAATTCGTTGCTCCTAATTACTTTAAGCAAACAATGGAATTTGACAAAGTTCAAGATAGATCCAAAATGACCAAATCCATCATCAAATCTCTCTAGCAAACAACAGGGTTTTTTCCTAAACACACACGTTCTTAAAAAAAATTCCAAAATACAAACGTTATAAACAATTTCCCAATCTAGTAATCTACACATGTTTGAACAAGACTATTGTCGTCAAACGCGGGGAAAACATCACCTCCTTTGTCAAAGGCGGTGAAATATTTTTGAACTATCACTGCGTTTGTCGAGAGGGGTGAATAGGTCACCGCTAACCTGTGACGCAATGAGGCATCATATCTGTGAAAAAACAAAATTCGCACCTCACCGCATCTGATGGCTGCAGTTAACAGTCGGAGCGACACAGATCGTTGTGGTCCACGTCGCCTCGCCTGTGAACCGCGCCAGTTGGATGGAGTGAAGCACAGATTCTGGTTTTTCTCCCAGATCCGACGCCTAACAACTCCCACGAAGCTACCCTTGTCATTCACCATCCTCAACTGACGTTGTGAATTCCCTTGCATCCGACAGCCACAATGACTTAGCTGGAGTGGACGGCTGCAATGACTTCGTTGTGGTTGTCTTCAACGGTCTCCTCCTCCTATAAATTCAGTTCTCCCCTCCCCATTTCATCTACACCACCACACTTCACAATTCTTTCTCCCCCCTTCCTCCACTCTAGGAATTTCGATTATGGTCTGCGGTTGCGGTTAAGGCCGATCCTCCATAACTTAATAAATTCATTGATATATTTCCTACAACTCTCCCCTCTAAAAACCCGTTGAACCTCCATATAGCTTTCGCCAAAAAATGGACGAAGAGGCTCTTAGGGTACTATACTCACTTGCGTTCGAAAATGGCGATGAACAATTCTCTGCGTTAGAGTAAATCAGTTTTATGTTCACCTCTTTAAAGGAAAGCAATTTCATTTTCACTGCTTTGGAGAAATGCGGTGAATGCCTTGATCGCATTAGACAATCGCGATTTTGCTCAAACATGTTTAGATTGGGGAAAAAAATTATAAAGTAGGTATTTTGAGGATTTTTTTAACAATATGTATTGTGGGGAAAATTCCAGCACCATTTTAAAGTGTAAACATTAGTTCCACCAAAAAAAAAAAAAAGTGTAAACATTAGGATTTCTTGTTTGCTCGCTACTCTCTTGCTCTCCACTCCTTGCAGCAACTCACACTCACCCGCCAAACCCCCCAATGGCGGCGGCTACCAAAACCTTCTTCACGCCTGTTCCTTCTCCCGGCGCCGAAACCCTAATTCCCCCAACCCTCAAATCCCCGAATCTCCACTACATCCCACATTCTTCGGCCAAGCGCCTGCCTTCTCTGACCATCAGAGCTTCCGCCGCCGCAGTTCCCTCCCCATCCGACGGCGCATCGCATCCCAAGTCCCCCGAGCAGTTCAGGGTCGAGATCCTCTCCGAATCCCTCCCCTACATCCAGCGATTCAGGGGCAAAACAATTGTCGTCAAGTACGGCGGCGCCGCCATGAAAGACCCGAAGCTGAAGGCCTCCGTCGTCAGCGACCTCGTCCTCCTCTCCTGCGTCGGCCTCCGCCCCATCCTCGTCCACGGCGGCGGGCCCGAGATCAACCGCTGGCTCAAGCAGCTCAACATCGAGCCCCTCTTCCACGAAGGGCTCCGCGTCACCGACGCCGAGACGATGGAGATCGTCTCCATGGTCCTCATCGGGAAGGTCAACAAGGATCTGGTCAACCTCATGAACAAAGCCGGCGGCACCGCCGTCGGCCTCTCTGGCATGGACGGGCGGCTCCTCACGGCGAGGCCCAACCCTAACTCGGCCCAATTGGGCTTCGTAGGCGACGTGGACCGGGTCGACCCGACAATGCTTTACCCGCTAATCAACAACGGTCATATCCCGGTGATCGCCTCAGTGGCGGCCGACGAGGCAGGGCAGTCGTACAACATCAACGCCGACACGGTGGCCGGCGAGCTAGCGGCCTCACTAGGGGCTGAGAAGCTGATCCTGCTCACCGATGTGGCGGGGATACTGGAGGATCGGGATGATCCGAACAGCTTGGTGAAGGAGACGGACATTGAAGGGGTGAAGAAGCTGATTGCGGAGAAGAAGGTCGCCGGAGGGATGATCCCCAAGGTGAATTGCTGCTTGAGGGCGATAGAACAGGGAGTGAGGACAGCGAGCATCATCGACGGCCGAGTTCAGCACTCGCTACTTCACGAGATCATGTCGGAAGAAGGGCTTGGCACCATGATCACTGCCTAATCGGGATACCCAATGTTCCAAGTTGTAATGCATCTGAAACAGAGTTTATATTTTTCCAGAGATAACAAGCAATGAGAATGCTGCAGAACTTCATTTGGACAATGCTGTATGTGTTTCATTTCATATGGATGCTTAAAAATGTCACCGCGATCGTAATCGCGCATGCTAGCAACGGCAAGCACAGAAGAAAGACAAGTTGGTCTATCTGGAATGGAGAGTTAACAAAGAACAATCAAAGCAAGCAAGAGTTAAAACAGAAACAAAGGAGAAAAGACAGTCTTCTGAGTTGCAGAGGCACAATTACAAGTATTTAGAAGCGAGGGAAAGAAGCATCAAAGTTTCCCACAAACTACTAACAAACTAGGAAAAACCCCCCAATGCCACCATGAACTCACAAAAGCCAGCACCCAACCCACCCAGTCTAAAATGCTTGTTAACTTCCTCCCTCACCCTATCTGAAATAAACCCAAAAGAAAGAAGAAGAAAAAACTGATACATACACATTCATCAAATAGTTCCATACTGCTTCACTTTTTTATACTTTCCCTTTCTTTCTTTTTGTGGCTTGTCTCACTTTTTCAGTTGTGTCCGCATTTTCTTCACTTTTTTACCATGTGTCTAGTATCCTGGCGGGTTCAGTCAATTGTCATGGGCTGGGTCATGCAACATCTGAAGCGCGCCTTGCGGACTGTGGTCATGATCTCGGTTTCTGCATCTTCAAGCATCCTGACAATGTCAGCAAATGGAGGACGGACCTCAGGGTTTGTATCCCAGCAGTGGGTCATGATCTCACTCAGCACAGGCAGGCAGTCGTTTGGTATAACAGGCCTCACCCCTTTGTTCACCACAGCAAATGCTGCTTGCACTGCTGTCATGTTCTGGAATGGAAGCATCCCAGTTATCAGCTCCCAGAGCACAATGCCGAAGCTGTACACATCCACCTTTTGTGTGTAGGGGCGGTGCTGGATCATCTCCCTGCACAAAAATGACAATTTCAAAACCCATAATCCAAGATCATTCGACTTACGTGTATCTTCTTTAAATAGGTGCGCCAACTATAACAAAGTTACACATGAACTTCAAGCAGCACTAGTGAACCAATCAAATCCAATTACTTCAAGAGCTACCAACAATCTTCCAGTAAACAACTCTTGATCAGAAAGTAACAAATCAGATAAAAAAGTTGCATACAACTACTAACTAGGAACAGCAGACCGAGTAAACCGGTCTCCTGCTATCAACTAAAAGTCAGCAGCAGATTTTCATTGGAAATATTCTCACCAATCACTGACATGCAACAAGGTAGCATGAAAGACCAGCATGACCATTGCAATGGTAGTTAGTATCTTTGATCCTTATTTAATCGTTTATTCTGAGCAGAACGTCTTTCATCTTTGGCAACATTTATGTATAAGGAACGTCAATAACAACAAATCTATTGTCTCACACATACAATTTGATGTGAAAAAGATGGAAAAATAGTGGTCACAGAATAACCATTTTCTCATATACAACCGCTGGTTCACAGCTCAGAGTTCACAATACCACTCCAGCAGCGACACTCTTGGATAAGGAACAAGACCTTGCATCATAAGTATTATTACTTTTTCTGTGCATCCTAGGGACTAACCAAATATCCGGCCACAAATTTGCTTTTAAGCATCCAATAAGGCAAAAGGACAAGTCGAAGTGGCATATAAACTCCCTAGTCCCTACTGCTGCAGACTTTAAGATTTCATGTTTGAAGAACAGTCAAGACACACTTACCGACAAACTACACCAAAAGTGAGGCATTTCAGGAATTTTTTTTTTAGAAGCAGATCTAAATTTCTGACAGCTCGTATAGTAGTTTCAATGAGAGCACACATCTAGGGATACCCCTGCCAAAACTGGTCGGTAAATTATTAGATCCCCGAGATTGGAGAAACTCAAGTCAAGTCACCCCCTTGTTTTCCTTCACTTCCTCTTCATATTCTCCTCCTCTCTCCCTATACCTCTGGCTCTCTGCAGGCCCTCCTCTCTTTCCTTAAGATTCAAGCCATCTCTATATATAGACTATGACTCCTCAACAACATGATGCAGGCAACAAAAGTTTCTTTGTGCATCTCTAACAGTATCAGACAAACCTAAAACTAATCGACGTGTAGGAAGAGCCAAAGAAAGGAAAGAAAGAAAGAAAGAAAGAAAGGGAAAAAAAAAAGTAATATGCACTTGTGATGTCATACGGAGTCCATGAATGGCAATCACAATATTTTCAGACATCAAAAGTGAGATACTCTATATACTTACGGTGCCATCCAACGGTATGTTCCAGTTTCTGGAGTCATCCCCTCAGTCTGCACCTCAATCCTTGCAACACCAAAATCAGCAATTTTTATAGACCTATCAGCTGCAATGAGAAGATTATCCGACTTAAGATCACGGTGTATGAAGCCAAGACGGTGAACATAGGCCATTCCTCTAGCAACATCCAAGGCCTGCTTGACTGCCAACTTCAGTGGCACAGACCTATTCTGCCTCCTAGTCAGAAACTGGCGTACTGAACCTCCCTTAGCATACTCCGTGACAATACACCAAACCATCGGCTTACGGCATGCACCAATAAAACGGACAATGTTTGGATGCTTTAAGGTTGCAAGCATCATGACTTCTTGCTGAAACTGCTGTTCCATCACTTGTGCCTTCTCAGGGCTATTCTCTGGCCTCTCCAATATCTTGATTGCAACATCTTCCCCATTGTATGTCCCTCTATATAACTTACCAAAAGCACCTTGGGCAAATGCCATACCCATGTTGAGTTTTCTCAGATCAATAGTCCACTCATCGTAATTGGCCAATCCTTCAGTTGGATATCTAGAGTCCATCAGCGCCTGAGCTAAAGCATCATCATTCAGTGCATGGCCAACCCTTCCTGGGCGAATCAAACTATGGCCAACAGTTCCACCGTAGTTGTGGCTCACAGGTTTTAAACCAGGGATGGCTTAAAATGTGGGTTAGAGAATCATTGGAACCAACACTACTGTTATCCACTGACATCGACACAGAACCACCAGCATTGCTTGTCTGTAAACTGTCAATGGACATGTTTGTACCCTCACCCAGTTTATGGTAAAACCCTTGCGTCAAATCATAGTAGTTGTTATCATTGTGGTTGTTCCCCCCTATAAGACCGGTAAATTTGGGGGGCTCCATTTTACCAATCCATCCATGGATGTAATTCCTTGACAGAGGAGTCAGCAAGAAAAATCACCCCGTAGCCTTAATCCGAATGGCCAATCACAGACCCGCCTGCTGCAACGTGTCCTGAGAACAAACAGTTAACAATAATTTGGTTAAAATCAGCATCACCAGTCAACTGAAAGAAGAAAAATGTAACGCTTTCTTCAATCAACTGGACCAAGTCGAACCGAAGTAAACAGCCGCCGAAAGAAGTCTTCAACACACTTACTTTCACTCATTTCACCCACGCCCGAGCTTCTTACAGGACAAATATAGCTAGCAGATATAATCATCACCACAAAAACTAAGGAACCAGCGGGTGGAATAAACCCAAGAGAACACAGTATTTGGTGTACAAATGTGAAATGTCCTCAAAATCTAGAAATTGGAGACAGCCCGAAAAGGAAACAAACCAAAATCTCAAACCGGAATACCTCTAGATACCAATTAGGAAAAGGTGCAATTAAAAAGCAGCCGCACTCCTTGAGCTCATTCCCTTCAAGAATTCATTTCACCATCTGCACCAAAGCAATTCATCAAAACAGAACCTATCCCACAAAAGGAAACCCCATGCCCAGAACAAGAAACCCATCCATCCACATAACCCAAGTCTTGCAAACAATTCAACCCTCCCTAAACCTTCATATTCGAAGCATTCCAGCCCCAAACTTTCAGATATCTCAACGATTCTCCGAAGGGAAGACCAACTACCCGGTCAACACAGAAGAAAAAAAAAACCCTCGAAAGAACCTCAAAGACCCCCAAACCCACACACCACAATCATAGATCAGGCAATCAAAGCAGCTCAGCACCCAAAACCCGACACCGGAATAACATACAGAGCATCCATAATTAATTCCACCGGAAACAGCCGATCAACCCCAAAGTAAACTCAGAAGTAGAAACCAATGGAAAGGACGGCAAGAAAGACCGAGGGAGGAAAAAGTAAGAATCCGTCAAAGATGCTGACCTGATTTCCCCGTCCGAGAAGCTCAGAAGATAATGAGAAGGGAACAGAAGAAACACGAAAGGCAGGCAGAGATGGATAGAGAGAGAAGGAAGCCTGCCCCGAAAACGCACCAATTTTTTTAACGAAAAAAAAAAGAGAGAGAGAGAGAGAGGAGAGGGAACGCAGTGAAGACGAAGAAGGAAGAGGAGAGAAGATGAGAGCAGGGAGTCTTCGCTTCTCTCTCTCTCATTTACTTTCCCAAGCCTCGTTTTTATTGTGACTGGTTCTTTCCCCACTCGCGAAGGACCGAGTGGTATTCCACTCGCTGCAGTTTCACTACACGTGACGGACTTAGGCCTTGGAGCTCCCTGGCGTCCTCTAACAACGCGTGTGAGGGACGTGGACTCTACAGCTTCACCTCGACGCGTCTTAGTTTTATCTTTCGTCCTTTCCTTTCTTTTTTGTTTTTGTTTTTTTTTTCCTCCTTCTTTTTCGTATTTAAATATTTGGATAGAACTTTTTTTTTTTTTTTCGTTTTCGTTTTCTGTTTCTGTCTCTTTCCGTTTGGTAGAACAAAATGGCTAATGGTTTGGTATTTATTTGGTAAAAAATACCTTTGCTTATTGGATTTGAAAAATGAGGGTTTTGGTTAATAAAAATTTTGGGATTTATGTTGGATTTATTGGATTATGAATTTGAAGAGTCTAATGTTTGCATGATAGATTTGATGATGGATTTGTGATGGATTTGTTAAATAAATAACTAACCATGAAGGATTTGCAAATCTCAAATCAATATATGGGATTTACAAGTCCGTGGAGGTAGGTCCACGGATTTGGTCTTTACTTTGGAACCAAATCCGTGGACCCCACGGATTTAGCACCCTTCAACAAACAATGGACTTATGTTAAATCCATCAAGTTTGGGATTTGGATACCAATTCATGACCCAAATCCAACAAGCAAACGACCCCTAAATTTGAGAATTGGATTAAACAACAATATCACACAAGTTTGAATACCCGAGTACTATTAAAGTCGTCAAAAGGGGTATCAGAAAGCATGTTTTATAGTTATCTATGTCAATTCGAAATTCAAAGTCTTTGGTGGCTCAAAGTCGTAGGCATGCTCACGAGCCGAGCTATTTCTTGTGTGTGACACAATCGATCATAATTCATAGCGAGGATGTTTGTTCTTCTGCCATCGATACAGGCCCCTAAGCTTTTCTATGTTTAGTAGCACCATCTTGTGAAGAATCAGTAATTTGAATATGGTACTTTTAATTACGATTTGGTACCCAAAACTTCAAAAACATCCAAACTATATTTCAATAAGTATTATGTAATATAAAAGTTAGAAAACCTTCTGAACATAGTATTACTAGAATGACTTATGAAAACTTTTCAATAAAATCAATAAATTAGTAAAATTAATAAACGAGTATGAAGGAGGAATAATAAATATAATAAAAGATAATAATAAATATTTAAAATCAATATTAGAGATCTATTAAATCCCTAATCCAATTAGAAGCATCACTAAAAATTGTTAAAATAGAACCTAATCGACCATAATTCATCAAAACCAAAGAATGATAAATGAAACACAATCAGAAAGAATTATTCCAATAATTGAAAAAATTTAGAACGAAACTATAAGGGAAGTAACCAAGTAATAAGTAAAACAGAAAAGCTACAACGTTCAGCAACAAATTTATAAAGTAAATATGACTATAGGAAGAAAATTAGAATTAGTAAATTTAACTAATATGGAACATCTATAATATAATATTATAAAATTACAAGGAAATTTAACATGGAAAATGAGATAACATCTGCATGATTTAAGAGAACTAAATATAAAATCCATATTATTTATAACAAAACAGACTTCATAGGATATATTTGCTTAAGGGAATAATTCAATTATTAGAACACATAATGATAATTGATTCTTAATTTTCTATTCAAAAATTGGTTTGGTATCAGAGTTTTCAAAAGAGGATTTCAACTAAACAAAATTCACAGGATATATTTGCTTCAGGAAATAATTCAATTATTAGAACACAATGATAATTGAAAATACTTATAATGATAATTGATTCTAAATTTCCTATTCAAAATTTGTTTGGTACCACAGTCTTCAAAAGAGGATTCCAAACAATGAAAAATGATGTTTTTAAATACAAAGGATTTTTTACAATAATAAAAGTAGAAGGATGAATTCTAAAATTTTGAAAAATAAAATATTCCATGAATATTCTGTCAACTTTAACGGAATGCACCTAAACTAAACTTAAGTGGTACTGGGTGCACATATAATAGAGTTCAGTTGCACATGATGCCCTATTCTTACTTAAGTAGTATGTCTACCCTAATTCTCAAATTTAAGTAGACATTTTACCCCTGGTATTTATCAAACCTTTTATTTGGGACCAATTGCATACAAATACCACAATCCATATACCATAATAACTGTTATTTGCTATGTGATATTTGTATAAAATATCATGTTTGGATGAATTATAAATAGTGGTTGGTGTGCTATTATCCTATGCGGTTGTTATTTGCTATGTGATATTTGTATGAAATATCACGTTTGGATGAATTGTAAGTAGTGGTTGGTGTGCTATTACCCTGTGCGGGTTGTGTCAATCCAAACTTCAAAGTCTAAATAACTCAATAAATAATGGTTTATGTCAAAAATATATATGCTTAAGAGGTGTTTTATAAGATAGCCCTGCTCCTTGCAAAGATCAGGGGATTGGTGAAGAGCTGAGATAAATAAAGGAACTAGAAATTCATTACGGCCATGCTTAACAATACATTTTGTGTCCAGTATAATTCCCAGGTCATGAGTCATGAATCATGTGGTTTTAATTTTGAAGAGAGAGGAGAAGTGATTTAAAAAGGAAAGAGTTATAGGTAAAATATGCCCTTTTATTATAATGATTTATCAAATATACCTTCAACTATTATTTATATTAAACATGCCTGTGTATTTTGAAAAGTTTATCAAACATGCCTTTCTGTTAAAATTTTCATCCAAAATCCATTATCAAACGCCGAACTTTGGTTGAGTGACACAAATGTCTAAATATCCCTAATAATTTCACTTTAGAATTTTTTTGGTTCTTTTGTATAGCCAAATAAATCAAATAATTTCACTTTGAATAGACCCAGAGAAATAAAACGGGAGACAAAACAGACATTTTTGCTCCCATTTGCAGATGTCGGGTCGTCTAAATCTCGGTTCAACCATGTTTGACAATGGAAAGTTTAACAGAATGACATGTTTGATAATTTTTTTCAAAGTACATGGTCATGTTTGATGTAAAAAATAGTAGAGGGACATGTTCGATAAAATGTCATAATAGAGGGGCATATTATACCTATAACCCAAAAGAAAAATGAGAGGAAAAGAGAAGAGAAGGTAACAACTTGATCGCTGCTGTCGTGGACGGATAGATTCTCCCGGCGGGCAGAAGGCCGAAGGAGCACTGGGCGGGTGGACCGTCGACTAAGACTGGGTTGGGGGGCAGTGCCCAGTGGGCTCAACTGCTCAATGGGGGCTCAGGTATGGGGAACTCTCCTAGGCCTGGTGGGCTTCGCCTCTCTGAGTCTGTTTTTAGTTATTCGGTCTTTCGGTTTTAACGGAATTTTAATCTAGACTGGATTGGTCCTGGATTTTTTACTAATTCTGGAACCAAAGTCGGGATTGGGTTGTTTTACATCGATCGCAAACACTCTGGGTTTGGGTTGAACTGAAAAATTCGGACCAAATAACTAGCCCTATCTTTCATTGTACCCGACTACGTGTCGTTTATTTAATTTTCTGGCTTGGTTAAATTTTAGGATATAATTATCTATTGTTCGAATCAATATATATGATTATCTTTTGTAAAAAAAAAACATATATGGCCATAGCTCATAAGAAATGTATATAAATAAACGTCGTTTAGCTTCGGCTAAGGCAGTCTCATAGTATCTTTACCTTTTTCTCATGGTTGTTATGCCGATGGCATGTGGCTGGTTGAATAGGTCCAACCGGTCCCGGTCATGAAACCGGATGGAACGCCACCGGTATTCTGTCTTAGTCAATAGTGGTCAAAAACGGAAATTCCGGTGGTCCAACCGGTATTTTGCATCCAGTCACTTAAGGAAACGTCGCTGTTCTTATTTGGATTGTTAAAAAAATTGAATTGGAATGGTTTTTGCTGACTCGCTTGCACGCCTCGTTCATTCACCAACAACCCAGTTCACCAAATTCTTCTCTCTGCCTTCTCTTTTTCCTGGCGGCAACCCTAGCGCAACATACAAATCCTCGATGACGAGGAGAGAGAGGCTTTGCAAGGCAGGCGCGAGGTGCAAGTTAGCTTCTTTGTCATGTTTGGGGTTCTGGTATTGAGGGATTGTTATTGGGTTGATTGATAGAGAAAATTGATTGGTGTCTGGTTTAATGGGGGTTAATGGTTTAATAATAGAGATTTTTAATGTGTTAATTGGATCCTGGTTTCGGATTGTTAATGAGGAATGTCCAAGGCCTTCTCTAGTCTCCATCGTTTTTGGTTTCTGAGCGAAGGGTGTGAAGAAGAAAGTCAATGAAGAAGAAGGTCAAGACATTGATCAGTTTTCTGGACTTTGGTTTAACAGGTTCAACCTGGAGAATCAGTCATTTAATCACTGCTTGAAGAAGCGCGTTTTGACACCGTTTTCCTCTACATGGTGTCGTTCTACTTCTACTTACCAACAAACACACAACACTTAGTCGATAGGGTTTAGACAGTTGTACAACT